TAGAGATGTTTTTATTGTTAAAACAAAACGCATTCTAACTGCGAACACTCTCACCTTCCCACAAATCCTGTACCTGTTACTTGATCTAGTGCCAATACCTGCTTGTCTCCATGGTGATAGATAAGTTTAATGCCTTGCTAAGGAACATTCCAGATAAAGCAATAACATCTCCACAGAGAAAAACAGCAAGAAAAGTTACATGTATTTGGTGGAGGATCTGTCAGATGCTTTTCCCCCTGTGTTGCTTGGTCTAGAATGTTTCACAGTATAGTATTAAACATTTCTATCATCATGGTGCCAAAACCAGACCAAGTTACAGGTCAGATCTGTGGAGAGGCGACCCTGCTCACAGTCTGAATGCCTGTTTTTCTAGGTATTTTTGAGCTATAAAACCACCTGTAACTGAATAAATGTAAAGTAGAACTGTTTAATGTCATATTGTGGAACATTCTAGATAGAGCATATCCACAGGAACAAGAAGGTGAAACGACTCTCAAACGAAAAGTTACACAGTGCATCTTTAAAGTTATTTATTTCAGGGTTTCCACTCCAAAATTTCAAAACTTTTTCATGACCTAAAGTGAATTTTCCATGACTTTACTGCACCAAAATGTGTAGAATTGATCAGAAATTTAAGGCTAAATATGAAATATTAACCCTTTCCACTCACCTTATGGTTTGGTTTTATAACGTTCAAAATCCTGTCAGTGCATTTATTGTCGTCTCTTTAAAACAAAAAGCACATACACTTGGAAATAATCATAATAGTCGAATGAGAACTTAACAGAACGCTGTAGTTGCACAAAAGAGATACTAAAATTACATGACATTTTCAATTTCCATGACTTTTCCAGAATTTCCATGACTGTGGGAACCCGTAATCTTGAGTTGAGTAAGTTTAGATTAATTAACAAATGCAGTTTTTACTCTTAATTCCTAGGAAAAAAAATTAAACAAAATGTGTAAAATAATCAATACTAAGAGGTAGGAGTGGACGAGATGAGACGAGACACGAGGTTGGGTCCACGAGAATGAAACAAGATGAGATTTTGACATCAGTTCTAAGCTGTAATAGTCAGATTTAGTTCATTATGTTGTCTTCAGAAATAATCATAATGTAGCAGTTCCGTGAAAGAGATACTAAAATTACATGACTTTTTCAAAACTTTCATTGAATTCACAAAATCCCATGACTTTTCCAGGCCTGGCAAATTACATTTTCAATTTCCAAGACTTCTCCAGGATTTCCATGACCGTGGGAACCCTGTTATTCAGATTTAAAGGGCCCATCTCATGCAAAATAACTCTTTTCACATTGTGTCTTATGCACATATACAAGCACAATTTGGGTTTTGGAACATCCATTACACAATAGTTATGAAATCTTACTGATTAAGGCCGACTATTGCTCATCCCCCCGCCCGTCCTGAGAAAGCACAGGCTCCATACCTCCAAACGTGACGTAGGCTCTGAGTGAGCCGCCCTTCCTCCGTCCATCTCAGGGAGGGAGGGGGAGACAGGCGTGCACCCTGATAGTGGTAGGAATAAACTTTTATTCGTCATGGCGCATGTGTTGGACCCGGAATAACACGAGGACTTTGAGGTGCAAGAAGCGCAAGCACCGCGGGGGGTCGGGTGCGAAGCGCTTTCTGTTATGTCAAGCGCGTCATAGGTGTAGCTGGCCACGTCTTCACTGTAGCAGGCTTTACTTCATTGTCCCGTGGGAGGGTGGCAAAATATGCAGTTTTGTCAAAAAAAGCTGCTGAATCAGTCTAAAAAACATTTTGGCGACATATACAACCCACACATCACTCTTAGAAGGTAGAAAGCACGGAAAAGTTGATTTTGCATGAGATGGGCCCTTTAATAAAAACAATCACAATAGAATACATTTTTTTATTTACGAAAAAAAACTTACTTTTAGAGTGAGAAGTCATCATAAACTCTCACCTTTTCTAGATTCTTAGAGACGTAGGAAGTGCTCCGTTTGATTGATTCACGTCTACAGTATTACACAGTGTTACACCACGGCGTCCACAGTCCACTCCAGCTGTGGGACCGTGGCCGCAGACGATGAGATCAGACAGTGTTTCTGACATGAGTTTGGGGACATGTGGGGGACACTCAGCCCCTATTAAGCGTACGGCAGCAGTGCACTTAGATCCGCCATGAGAGAAGAAATCAGCCGTCTCCCCGCGTTATTAAACTCATCTTTGTTCAATAACATTACACAGCGGCCAATCTGTCAGCAACAATACCAGATCTGTGCTTTTTAACTTCTCAAAAATGTGTTTCGCATGAGGCAAAAAAAGCTATTGTTTTATAGTTCTGCTACAATAACCAGGATTGGTTCTGGTGTCCATGTGTCCAGATAATGAGCACGTAAAGCGAGTGCGGTGGTGCGTTCAGGTGCGCTGTAACTCCGTGGGGGATCTACGGCTCTCGCAAAGCTCTTTAAAACCAACCAACAAACAAAAAATCAATGTTCACATCTCGCGTTAAAAAGATCGCATGAGTTTAACGCCAGTTGAAGCTGTACTAAGATAAAGAAAGAAACATAAACACACTGATAATCCTATATTGATTAAATTAAATTAGATTAGACTACATAATTTACGTATTTGAAAAATTTTGTGGTTACACCTTTTGCTTTTTGGACTATGTTCCCTCAGCCTTATGTTCCCTCATTTCTAATTTTTTTTTTTTTCCAAAATTGGGCCCTATGTTCCCATGTTTCCTTTATCATCAATTTACATCAGATTTTATCCCCATTTCTCCCAATTTGGTCGTCAATTACACCCAACTTGTTCTTCAGCAGCAATTGAATACAGATGTAATGTAGAGTTCATGGTGCAAAGGACTCTAGGTTGAAATGACTCTGAATCATCCCTTTAAATTTAGTGTAAAAATAAAAATGACTTGACTTAGTTTCATTCTGAGAAAAATCTTAGAAAAATAAAAAGGGCTGAAGGAACATAGGGCTGAACCCGGTTAGACCCGGAAGTGACATTATCATTTAACAATCCCATACTCTAGCCCCGTGGTCCCCAACCATTTTTGCGCTACGGACCGGTTTTAGTTCTGGTTTAGACCTGGTTTAGTCCTGATTTAGACCTGATTTAGACCTGATTTAGTACTGGTTTTAGTTTTTGTTTAGACCTGGTTTTAGTCCTGGTTTAGTCCTGGTTTAGACCTGGTTTAGTCCTGGTTTAGTCCTGGTTTAGACCTGGTTTAGTCCTGGTTTAGTCCTGGTTTAGACCTGGTTTAGACCTGGTTTAGACCTGGTTTAGTCCTGGTTTAGACCTGGTTTAGATCTGATTTAGATCGGATTTAGTACTGGTTTTGGTTCTTGTTTAGACCTGGTTTAGACCTGGTTTAGATCTGATTTAGATCTGATTTAGTACTGGTTTTGGTTCTTGTTTAGACCTGGTTTAGATCTGATTTAGATCTGATTTAGTACTGGTTTTGGTTCTTGTTTAGACCTGGTTTAGACCTGATTTAGTACTGGTTTTGGTTCTTGTTTAGACCTGGTTTAGACCTGGTTTAGTCCTGGTTTAGTCCTGGTTTAGACCTGGTTTAGACCTGGTTTAGTCCTGGTTTAGACCTGGTTTAGACCTGGTTTAGTCCTGGTTTAGACCTGGTTTAGTCCTGGTTTAGACCTGTTTAGACCTGGTTTAGTTCCTGGTTTAGACCTGGTTTAGTCCTGGTTTAGACCTGGTTTAGTCCTGGTTTAGACCTGGTTTAGACCTGGTTTAGTCCTGGTTTAGACCTGGTTTAGTCCTGGTTTAGACCTGGTTTAGATCTGATTTAGTTCTGGTTTTGGTTCTTGTTTAGACCTGGTTTTAGTTCTGGTTTAGACCTGGTTTAGTCCTGGTTTTGTCCTGGTTTAGACCTGGTTTAGACCTGATTTAGTCCTGGTCTAGATCTGGTTTAGACCTGGTTTAATCCTGCTTTAGACCTGGTTTAGTCCTGGTTTAGACCTGGTTTAGACCTGATTTAGTACTGGTTTTGGTTCTTGTTTAGACCTGGTTTTAGTTCTGGTTTAGACCTGGTTTAGTCCTGGTTTTGTCCTGGTTTAGACCTGGTTTAGGCCTGATTTAGTCCTGGTCTAGATCTGGTTTAGACCTGGTTTAATCCTGCTTTAGACCTGGTTTAGTCCTTGGTTTAGACCTGGTTTAGATCTGATTTAGTACTGGTTTTGGTTCTTGTTTAGACCTGGTTTTAGTTCTGGTTTAGACCTGGTTTAGTCCTGGTTTTGTCCTGGTTTAGACCTGGTTTAGGCCTGATTTAGTCCTGGTCTAGATCTGGTTTAGACCTGGTTTAATCCTGCTTTAGACCTGGTTTAGTCCTGGTTTAGACCTGGTTTAGATCTGATTTAGTACTGGTTTTGGTTCTTGTTTAGACCTGGTTTTAGTTCTGGTTTAGACCTGGTTTAGTCCTGGTTTAGTCCTGGTTTAGACCTGGTTTAGATCTGATTTAGTTCTGGTTTTGGTTCTTGTTTAGACCTGGTTTTAGTTCTGGTTTAGACCTGGTTTAGTCCTGGTTTAGTCCTGGTTTAGACCTGGTTTAGACCTGATTTAGTCCTGGTCTAGATCTGGTTTAGACCTGGTTTAATCCTGCTTTAGACCTGGTTTAGTCCTGGTTTAGACCTGGTTTAGTCCTGGTTTAGACCTGGTTTAGATCTGATTTAGTACTGGTTTTGGTTCTTGTTTAGACCTGGTTTTAGTTCTGGTTTAGACCTGGTTTAGTACTGGCTTTAGTCCAGTACTAAGTACTAACTAAACTCCAGGGAGTTTGCGAGTTCGTGCTTTTGTGGCCTGGTACTGGTCCCCTCCCTGGAGGTTGGGGACTCCTGCTCTAACCTATAAAAAAAATAAGATGATAATTTTAGAAGCTGTTGACATGAACTGTTTACATGATTTAGACTTAGTTGGTTCTTAGTCCTGGTTTAGTGCTCTTTCGCCTTGTTTTTATTTCTGGTTTTAGGTCATGATTTTTTTTCATAATTAACCTAGTTTAATGCTTGTTTAGTGCAGGAGAAGTCTACGTTTAGTCCAAGATTAATTTCAAGTTTATTTCCAATTTTGAAGTGTAATGCAACCCTAATGAAGTCCTAGTTTAGTCGTAGGTTTTACCTGATATGTTCCTCTCATAGTCCTGGTTTAATAGATCCTTGTCCTAGTTTATTTCCACTTCAGTGCTGGTGTAATTCTAATATATTTTTTTTGTCTAGCCCTGGTTTAATCTCATTTTATCCTGATTAAATCCTTGTTCAGTCCTGGTTTATTCATGGTTTAATTCTAGTTTAGTTTTAATTCAGTCCTGGTAAAGTCCTGGTTCTGTTCTGTTTTCTTTTTTTTTTTTTTTCAGTTCTGCCATAGCAGCACACCAGGCTTGGCTCTGGTGTCCATGTGTCCAGATAATGAGCTTTGTATATAATGTAATGTAATGTCTGGTGGTGCGTTCAGGTGCGCTGTAACCCTGTGGGCATCTACGGTTCTCGCAAAGCTGGCATCTGGAGCGAGTGGAGCCATCCGACTGCAGCCTCCACCCCGCAGACTGGTGAGATCATCATTGGCACTAACTAATGTTTTTCAAATGCTCGGCTGTGTTGAGAAATCGTTAAGTTTAATAGAGTTGGGTAGACCTAGTTTAGTCCGGTTATAATCCTGGTTTAGTTTTAATTAAGTGCTATCTTAATCCTGGTTTAGTCTTAGTTTTGTCCTGGTTCAGTCTGGTTTAGTCCTGGTTTTGTCCTTAATTAGTCCTGATTTAACCCTGGTTTAGTCCTAGATTAGTCCTGGTTCAGTCTGATTTAGTCCTGGTTCTGTCCAGTTTAGTCCTAGTTTAGTCCTTATTTAATCCTGGTTTAGTTCTAGTTTAGTTGAATTCTGTATTGAGCGATAATTAAGGATTTTAGCCGTGGATTAGACCTGGATTTTAACTGTACTATTCCTAGTCTGGACTTGATTTAGACCAGGTTTTCTTGGTTTACTACTGGTTTAGTATTCTTGGTAGCCTCGATTTATGTCATAGTTTTGTCCTGGGTTAATCATAGTTTAGTTAGGCCTGGTTTAGTCCTGGTTTAGACCTGGTTTAGACCTGGTATAGACCTGGTTCAGTCCTGGTTTAGTCCTGGTTCAATCCTAGTTTAGTCTTGGTCTAATCCTCGTTCAGTCCTGGTTCAGTGCTGGTTTAGTCCTGGTTTAGTCCTAGTTTAGACCAGGTTTTTGTCTTGGTCTTGGTTCAGTCCTAGTTCAGTCCTAATTTAGTACTGGTTTAGTTCTAGTTCAGTCCTTGTTCACTCCTGGTTCATTCTTAGTCTAATCCTGGTACAGTCCTGGTTCAGTCCTGGTTTAGTCCTGGTTCGATCCTAGTTTAGTCTTGGTCTAAACCTGGTTCAGTCCTGGTTTAGTCCTGGTTTAATCTTGATTTAGTCCTAGTTTAGTCCAGGTTTTTGTCTTAGTCTTGGTTCAGTCCTAGTTCAGTCCTGATTTAGTCCTGGTTTAGTATTGGTTTAGTTCTAGTTCAGTCCTTGTTCAGTCTTGGCCTAATCCTGGTTCAGTCCTGGTTTAGTCCTGGTTTAGTCTTGATTTAGTCCTGGTTTAGTCCAGGTTTTTGTCTTGGTCTTGGTTCAGTCCTAGTTCAGTCCTGATTTAGTCCTGGTTTAGTACTGGTTTAGTTCTAGTTCAGTCCTTGTTCAGTCCTGGTTCAGTCTTGGTCTAATCCTGGTTCAGTCCTGGTTCAGTCTTGGTCTAATCCTGGTTCAGTCCTGGTTCTGTCCTGGTTTAGTCCTGGATTAGTCTTGGTTTAGTCCTAGTTTAGTACAGGTTTTTGTCTTGGTCTTGGTTTAGTCTTAGTTCAGTCCTGATTTAGTCCTGGTTTAGTCCTAGTTCAGTCCTTGTTCAGTCCTGGTTCAGTCTTGGTCTAATCCTGGTTCAGTCCTGGTTCAGTCTTGGTCTAATCCTGGTTCAGTCCTGGTTCAGTCCTGGTTTAGTCCTGGATTAGTCTTGATTTAGTCCTAGTTTAGTACAGGTTTTTGTCTTGGTCTTGGTTTAGTCCTAGTTCAGTCCTGATTTAGTCCTGGTTTAGTCCTAGTTCAGTCCTTGTTCAGTCCTGGTTCAGTCCTGGTTCAGTCTTGGTCTGATCCTGACTAACAGTTTTCCATGTGTGTGCCTGGCACTGCCCACGTCTCTGGTCTTTGTGAAGTGAAGACCCGTCACACAGGCCCAGAGTCTGTGGCAGATGCTCTGGTCGAATCCAAATAAATCAAAGTAAATCCTAAACCAAACATTCTTTGTATGTAATGTTTGGTAGCAGTAGACTTACACAAATCACTTCAGCATGGAACCTTGTGCTAATCAATAACAAAGGGCAGAGTTGTGCTTATGAGCAGGAGCCGCTATAGAATGAACAACCTCAACAATCAATACACATGTAGAGGAGGGTTGGGCGCTATCCAGATTTTTATACCGTTAAACCTCAGGATTTTATTGGAGTATATGGTATTACTGTATTACCAAAATGTTTTAATATGACTTTGGTAAAGCTGCGAAACCGCACCACTACACGGTCTATTTGTACGACCTACAGACTTATAATCTCTGAAAAGTTTCACATGAACCATCTCCAACGTGATAGAAGCACAGAGCAGACTCACCATCAGCAGCACATCCTCTGTCACAGAACGAACACTCATATTCCACTGAGTCGTGTCCTTTAGTCCGACAGAAGCTGAACCGGATCAGAGCACAAGGAGCGAGCCGTCTTTATCAGCGCTTTACAGTTTATGCAAATGAGACATGTGGTTTTAAGTTTCGTTTTTGTAAAATGTAAACAAACGTGCGCCTGAAGCCAAAATGCTGCCAAATTGCAGAAGTACTACTTTTTTTTTTTGAGACCAACTTGCTTACAGCCTGAGTTGCCATCTTGTCTTGGTCTCCCTTTATGAGCGTCACGTGACAACGGAACAAAACTAATCGAACGTCGTCTCCCCACGCAGTTAAAAGAAACATTATTGATACTACTAGTTTTAACTCGTGATAGCATTAAATTGAAAATACAACCACACATTCATTTGTGCTGCGCAAACAAATTTAGCATCAATAAATTATAATATTATATCAGGTGCGCTACTGATTTTTTTAATGATGATAATGAAACTGATACCGTTGCTACTTTTTGATACCGCGGGATATTGTAGTACCGTATTACCACCTAACCCTAATGCAGAGTACAATTACTTACATAACTGCATGGGAGTACCTGGCTGTACCATGTTACAGTATATGGTACACATATATGCTACTATCATTAAATAATGAAAGACAAAAATATCCATCACAATATAAACTATTTTTAACTCCTGTTTTGATTCTATTTGCAATAATTCTGATATAAATGGCTCCAAAAGGACTCAATGTTCTTATTAGTAACAATATTGGGATTATTGTGTTGTATGTTATTGACATTTTAAAAGCTCTGAGGCACACAGAACAAACCTGAGTCTTGGTTTGTTTTTATCCGTCCTCCCTCTAGTTTTTCATCATATTTATTATAGTAGTAACAGCAGTATATATATCTTGCAGAAATGTGATTATTATTGTTTCACCAGTGATTGTGTTGGTCTGGACCGTTAACACATGCCGGGGTTTGAACATGGACGTGGGAAAAAAAGAAATATTTGCCCGCCCCGACATAGACCGTGATGCTTTGCTCTGGTTCAACTATGCCAGCCAGAGTTCATAAATAAGTATTTAATTACTACTAATAAATAAAAAATACTATTAACTTAAATTGAAATATGGCAGTAATAATTACACACGTCTTGTTTAGACATTTTCTACTAAATCAAGAGCGTCACAACATCACAAATTACAATAAATGTCACTTGTAATTAAAACACTTTTAAATACAAGACTGTGAGTTTTGATGGATTTACTGTACATCACTAATACTTATCCTCTCTCCTCCCTCTCCTCTTTTTCTCTCATCTCTCTCTCCTCTCTCTTGTTCCTCCCTCTTCTCTCCCTCCTTCCTCTTTCTCCCCTCTCTTCTCTCTCTCCTCTCTACCTCCTCTACTCCCTCTCCTTTTTCTCCTCTCTCTCCTCTTTCTCTCATCTCTCTCCTCTCTCTTGTTTCTCTCTTCTCTCCCTCCTTCCTTTCTCCCCTCTCTTCTTCTCTCTCTCTCTCCTCTTTCTCTCCTCCCTCTCTCTGCCTCCTCTCCTCTTTCTCTTCTCCCTTTCCTCTCTCTCTCCTCTTTCTCTTTTCTTTCTCTACTCCCCCTCCTCTCTTTCTCTCCTCTTTCTTTTCTTTCCTCTCTCTCTCTCCTCCCTGCCCTATCTTCCCTCTTTCTCCTCTCTTTCTTTCCTCTTTCTTTTCTCTTTCTCTCCGCTCTCTCTTCTCTCGCTCCTCTTTCTCTCCTCCCTCTCTCTTCCTCCTCGCCTCTTTCTCCCCTCTCTCTTTTTTCTCTTTCCTCCCGTCTCCCTTCTCTCTCCCTCTCTCTTGTCTCTCCTCTGTCTCTCCTCCCCCTCCTCTCTCTCTCCTTGTTCTCCTCTTTCTCTCTTCTCTTTCTTTCCTCTCTCTCCTCTTTCTCTCTTCCCTCTCCTCTCTCTCCTCTTTCTCTCTTCCCTCTCACTTTCATCTCTCCTCTTTCTCTCCTCTTCCCTTCCTCCCTGTCTCCTCTTTCTCTCCTCTTCCCATCCTCCCTCTCTCTTCTTTCTCTCCTCCCCCTCCTCTCTCTCTCTCTCCTCTTTCTGTCTTCTCTCTCTCTCGCACTCTGTCATCTTTCTCTCCTCTTTCTATCCCCTCTCTCTCCTCCCCCTCCTCTCTCTCTCCTCTTTCTTTTCTTCTCTTTCTCTCCTCTCTCTTCCCTCTCCTTCCTCTCCTCTCTCTCTCTTTTCTCTTTCTCTCTTCTCTTTCTCCCACCTTTCTCTCCTCTTTCTCTTCTCTCCTCCTTCTCTCCTCTCTCTCCTATTTCTCCCCCCTCTCTCTCTCTCCTCCCCCTCCTCTCTCTCTCCTCTTTCTTTTCTCTTTCTCTCCTCTCTCTTCCCTCTCCTTCCTCTCCTCTCTCTCTCTTTTCTCTCTCTCTTTTCTCTTTCTCCCACCTTTCTCTCCTCTTTCTCTTCTCTCCTCCTTCTCTCCTCTCTCTCCTATTTCTCTCCCCCCTCTCTCTCTCTCCTTCCCTTCCTCTCTTCTCCTTCTCTCTCTCTCTCGTCTCTCAGTGATCATGAGCGGCTCGTGCGACTCCAAATCCAGCGCCGACTCGAACTCGACCCTGCGCCGCGAGCTCAAGCAGTTCTTCGGGTGGGTGCGCAAACACGCCTACGGCTGCAGCAGCATGTCCATGAAGATGTACGACCAGTGGAGGGGGCTCATGCAGAAGTCGCACAAAACTCGCAACCAGGTAGGTAAGCATCGCTACGGCAACGCAACAACAACAACAACAACGAAAACATTTTAATACGAAGTCGCCGAGTTAATTTTTGTTGTTTACGTTTTAGGTTCTACAAGGGGATAAATCGTAGCGCGGGATGACGGATGGACCGTAACGAAAAAACAAAAAACTTGAAACTGAATTTTGTTTGGAACGAATTTTTTTTTTTCGGATACGAAGGTGGACATTCGGTTCGAAAACGCCGCGTTGTTTCTAGCAAAAAGACACTTGGAAAAAAAACGAGTGTAAGCTGGCAAACGCAACGCTACCAGCCCGAGATCGTGGACTCACAGCGCCCTCTTCTGGCTGGGACGGCGTAGTACAAACTCGAGTGACTGATGCGAGGCCCTTATTTTTGTACTGAGCTCAAACGGCGTATTTAAAACTGTGTAAAAGTTTTGTAATGCTTAAATTATGTTAAGAACGTTAGCTGACTGAAGGCTTATTCCACAGTCCATTGTACATTTCTTATGCTGTGTGAGGAGTTATATAATTAGTCCATTGTAATTCTGTTATTGTATTGTATCAGTGATATATTTTTATTTATTATGTAATGTATAGACGTATTTGTATCAACTGTTTGAATGTGTAAAAGACAAAAGTACATTTCATATGTTGTTTTATCATATCGAACCCGGGGCTGCAGTGATTCATTGGAATAACTGAGATAAATCGGCAGCGGTGAGAGTACTGACTATTTATACTCAAGTAAAAGTACAGTTACATGGCTAAAATATACTCAGTTACAAGTACAGGTTACACAATTGTACTTAAACATCCTATATTACAAACTGAAGACGTTAGAATGCTGTTACCTCCTTAAAACCATAGCTGGAGTTGTGTTTTGTTTCATTCACACATATTTGAGTACCGTATTTTTCTGACTTTAATTCCCTCCGTAGTATAAGTCGCACCAGCCAAAAAATGCGTAATGAAGAAGAAAAAAACATGTAAGTCGCACTTTTTTGAAGAAATTTATTTTATAAAGTCAGAGACCAGGAACTAAAATTTCATCTTGAAAGGCAAGTTCTAATAATAGCAATAGAAGAGAGAACAACAGACTGTTAACGTCACATATGAACAGTTCTTCAGATAAACTATAACATAAACAACAGAACAGAACAAGTTTACCAAACTCTCCATCTCACTCCAAATCACTAAATCCATTGAATTCTTCATCCTCGGTGTCACTTCTGAGCAACTCCACGACCTCCAGAGGTAAACAGAGCACCACTTCCTCTACTGCGTAGTTGTCATCAGACTCAGCATCAGTTCCAGTTAGAATTATTCCAGTCTTTCTGAATCCCGACAGGATGGTTTTGGTGTCACTGAAGTCCAGGCTTTGTCCATCCATCCAGTGACTTCCAGGAAGTACCCTCTTGATGTCACAAGTTTCTCGCTCATTCCAAACTTTCTTTCTACTGCTCGATTATCGTTTTCAGCTGCTTATTTCTCCACTTGCAGCTTGTAACCAGCAAAATATGATTTTTTTGGGGAGCATTTGTGTTCAGTCTTCTCAGTCGTCTTTATAAATTTGTTTAAATTGTAAATTTTCAGTGGTTCAGAAGTAATGGTGTGATCGACTGACATGATACAGACAGGACAGAGGCTCTTTCTGCAATAGACGTGCAGTAGAGCCAAGTGACAGTGGTACAGGAGTAATAAAAGTAACAGATACTGACACACAGCGCCCTCTGTCAGTGTGAAAATTTTTATACATAAGTCACACTGGAGTATAAGTTGCAAGACCACCTAAACCATGAAAAAAGTGCCACTTATAGTAAAAAAAAATTGATAATCTGTTTTTATTAGTCTCTTCTAAGCTCAAAATGCTCTGTTCCACCTTGTGATGTCATGAAGCAGTAGTTTTCAGCACCTCCTTTTACTTTTAGTTTAGTAGAGATTGTCAATTTCAGAGATGAAATGATCCATATGATTCTAGTGAAGGTGCATTGATTTTTAAAATACAGTGAAGCACAAGAAATGGACTAAGGAAGTGTGATGTCACCCATAGCGTTCGGCTCCAGTCAAATGAAGCTCATCGAGGCTTGCAGCTATGGGGTTAGTTTGGTGTCGAGTTCCATATTAGGAATAGGAACTGATATACGGACAAAATAGTGAAATAAAAACACCAGCATCATGTAGAGTGGGTAAATACAAACATTTTAAGACCAAAATGAGGAGCCTGACAACAGCAGCTACAGAAAAAGGGGCGACGTTTATCAATGCAAAGTAAACTGGAGCTGGAGTCAATGGAACCGGAAGCACAACCATGTTCACTTTCCTATTTATACAGTCTGTGCTGTTATCTGGATTATTAACACACGCTAGAAGACGTTTTATCACAAATTATTAAATCAAAATTTCACATTTTCATCAATAATACACTCTTTTTATCAATATTCTCTATCTAGAACCTTTCAGTTGCCATATTTCAACCTTTATTTGGTTAAAATATATTTATCAGATCTGAATGTACAATAGAAATAATAGTTCGACTAGTGGACTTCTCGCAATTGTTAAAAATAGACACATCGGAAAGCATTACGGGATACCCCTTAGACAAACAAATGCTAACCAGTATGTCCTCTTCTGTAAACAAGGTCTAGTTCTAACATTATCTTAACTTGTTTTTCTTACATTTTGTTTCATTTTATAGCGTTTCAGTGTAGAATTCTAGCCATGTGCTGAGTTGTTCGTTTTATTTTTTATTTTTTCATGACTTGATCTATAATGCGGGCTGTTGAAAATAAGAATCACTGACAACTTGACTACTAAAATAATATTATCGCAGCCTTCATCTGCTCAAAGCCCGGTTAGCTCTACACAATATGGAGTATGAACAAGCTTGGAAATATATCAAAACTTTTTCTGACAAATGTTGCAATTGTGGTTAGATTTGAGGTTTGAGATTAAAACCAGATTCAGTGCACGTTTCACACATTTTCCGGAAAAGTCAAATTTAAGACCGACTTCAAATATTTCAGCTCAGGTCAAATATTGGACCAAACTAGAAGGAAGGAGGATTTACACATAATAAGGCACGATGGAGACGGAATATTAACTTCTTATTATATTAAGTAAAGAACTGCAGGCGTTCTGTTATGCTAATCTCTTATTATTAAAATTATAATTTGATTTGATGACATTCTGCACCCCTACTACGCACTTCACATTATAAAACAAAAAAATAGCTGGCTAATTTTGGCACCACTTTATAATAACGACACCTTAAAGGCTCTGTACCAGATTTTTGCCGTCCTAAAAACATTTGTAGTGGTCCAAAGTTACTCCTCACTTACCTTATGCATCCTAATTATTCACCACGATAAGTTTATAAGCACTTTTCACAATTTTCAGAGACAAGAGCTGCATTTTTTTGTTTGTGTGTTTGTTTTTTTCTATTACAATGATGCTAACAACAGCTAGCTTGCTAATACGCTCATCATGATTCCCAGACAATAAAACACTTTAAGCATTCTGAGCATCCTAATTATTCACAAAATATTTCCACCATGAGTTTATGAGCACTTTTCACAACTTTCAGAAACCAGAGCTGCGTTTTTTTTGTTTGTTTGTTTGTTTTTTCTATTACAATGATGCTAACAACAGCTAGCTTGCTAACACACACTTCATGATTCCCGGACAATAAAAGCGCTTTATAATTTCGCAAACAGTTGCCAACATAACAAACACATTTTTTTGACTTCAAGAGACAAAAATTTCTCAAAAAAAATAAAAAAAAAAAATCGGATTCAGCCCCTTTAATTAATTACGTAGTCACGAAGAATCATTGCGTCATTCTTAATAAACTAATAAAATTTGCTTATTACAATTTCAATATTTGTTTGTGGTTTTTTTTTAATTAATTAAGGTGTAGGGAATATAAAGAGTTACATTTCTATTTATAATATATATATATATATTTTTTTTTCCCATGAAGGATCTGTAAGTTTTCATAATTTTAGTTAGTCCTGTCTGTCAATATTTGTTTGTGCTTTTTAGCTTTTTAAGATTAATTAAGGTGTAGGGAATATAAAGAGTTACATTTATATTTATTTATTTTATTTAAACAAAATTTTTTACCCACGAAGGATCTGTAAATTTTCATAATTTTAGTTACTCCTATCTGAATCATATTTAATAACAATAATAATAATTGCTCCCATAAACAGTTGTGTATTTATTTAGCAATAAAGTTTACAACTGTGTCAATATTTGTTCATGCTTTTTAAGATTAATTAAGTTGTAGGGAATATAAAGAGTTACATTTATATTTATTTATTTATTTTTATTATTTATTTTTTTTAACCCACGAAGTATTTGTAAGTTTTCATAATTTTAGTTAGCCCTGTCTGAATCATATTTAATAATGATAATAATATTTCCTCCCATAAACAATAAAGTTTACATAAAGTGTCCACCAGGTGTCGCTGTTCCGTTACAAACCCGCGCACTTCCTCCCCGCGCGTAAACGTAACACCGATCATCAGACCGCGCGGTGTCCGGTCATAATGAGAAACTTCCAGAAGGACTCCGGTGTCTTGTGGGTAAATCTTGGACGACGGGGTGACAGCGCAGCGGCCCGTGGTCCGTGATGCGATGCGGAGGAGGAGGAAATGTGATCGCGTATTTAATATTTAAGAGCGCGTCGGGCTGAGAGGAGGCCGCTTTAGTTACATGTGCGGGGATAGGATGCACGTGGAGGGGGGTGCGCTACCTGCTACGTAATACAGGTGTTAGTTTTACCTGTATTACGTAGCAGGTAACAACAATAGTCTATTCAGTCATTTTTATTGCCAGTTTTTTGGTGTTATTCAGCGATGGTACGGAGAACTAAAAATGACATCCCTGAAAATTATAAATGTTTGGAGTATTTATTTTAAAATGGGGATAAAAACATAAATGCGTGAATAAATAACTGCATTTACACATTCATGCAAACATCCTGGGCATTAATAAGTGGAAATATGCTTATTTTAATTTTTGACATGTACCTTAGTTTTACATTTATACATGAATTTATTTATTTATTTCCAGTTATGCCATTTTTGGGGAATAATATCTGGTAAGCATGGATTCCCTAATATCAAATGTGCGCTCTGTAGTCAACTTTGGTAATTGGAGAGATGTTATTGTTTTGTCTGGAATGTTCCACAGTATGGCATTAAATTAGTTATCTTGCATTTATTCAGTTACAGATGTTTATGTTGCTCTAAAATGACTTGAAAACATGCTTTCTTACTGTGACCGGAGTAGCCTCTTCGCAGATCTGACCTGTAATTTGGCCTGGTAGCATCGCCTTCTCGTCTTCATGGAGATATGTTTAATGCCGTAATCTGAAACATTCCAGGCATCTTCACTGAAACAAGCCTCCAGAAATGTTACAAAGCTAAAGTTACAAAAAAAAGTTGCAAAATTTCAATATTTTGTTTTTATTTTGCTTTATGGAGCTCAACAGTTCTGCCCATTTAGAAGTTCATTCTGATTTCGGAAGTACATTTTTCAGTCATTTTTCCCATAGATTTTTTTGTAAATTTCAAATATTAAGAGTTCAAAGACATTACAAAAGCTCACCAGCTCTGTGCTAACTAATATCCATATGTTTTAATACGTTTTAAGCCTCAAAACCACATTTAAAATAAAAGATTCAGCAAATTGCTTTAATGTTTTTGCAGTTCATTAAGTTTCAGAAACATATTTTAAACAGTTATAGGTCTTGTCATCATTTGTTACCACTAGAGATGTAACGATATTAAAATCTCACGGTACGATATTATTGCGATATTTTGGAGAGGCTGATATAATTGTAGATGGAACACTTTTTGCTTTTAAAATACCTTTACAAGATTTTGAGTGAATTATTTCCGGCGAATTCAAGTAAAAAACGTCCATCTTCATGTTGTTTGCACTGAAATGAATCATGGGAAATGTAGTTCCTGATGTTTATAAGCTGTTCCTATTATAAAACCATGCATTTTAGCAAAGAAACTTGTAATTCGACATATTGTGACAGTCCACGATATTATTGTGAGACATTTGACGATACAATATCATGATATTTCCGTTATTGTTACATCCCTAGTTACCACATCACTGATTATCCCTGAGCTTTCAAACTTTAATATGATATTAATTTGTTTTCGAAGAGTCTTTGGAACCAGAGGCGGGTGGTCACTGTTGAGCTCCGTTTACACTGTTTGTTTTACAGCCAAGTTTACCTGCTCGGAAAACACACACACACACACAGAAATATTAGCTTTCTAAACTAGAATCTGATACTAGTATCTTCACCCTTGGGAATTATGTAACTGTACATTGTCCTGTTTAATAAATAAAACAACATAAAGACATAGATCATAAGAAATTGAGCTTAAAAACAAAACATATATATATTTTTATTGAATGTATTCCTACTTAGTGTGATTTTATTATTAATCTTTTTATCTTATTCAGATATCATGTCGACTTTGGACTTACTTCACTTCATAATCTGGTTCAGAAGTACTTAGCAACAGTTAATGTCAAATGTGTTTAACCCGACCTCTCATTGTTTTGCTAATTACCACGACAACTCCTCCATGTCCGCTGTTGTTATTAGTCATATGATCTTGCCATAAGTGCCCCAAGCAAACACTCCAGGTTACCACGTCGTAACACAACGCCTCGGAATAGAATATCACACTGCAATTTCACATAATCAAATTTCAAACTTTAATTTTTTTTAATTTTCCGTTTGTGAGTCACCCGAGGCCTTTGTTTTTTCACTGTCCCGACTTTACCCAACAGCGAGCAAGAGCGTATGTGCGGTTTCGCCCCTTGTTCAGTACGGGGTTTCTCTTACTTGTGGTCATTCATAATTCATCCTCCCCACGCTGAGAGCCGCGCTGAAAAAAAAAAAAAGTTCTTTTAAGTGACAGGAGGCCAGAAGAGGAGAGGAAGAGGAGAAGGAGAGAAGGATGGAGGAAGCGGTGAAGAAGCGGCCAATCATATCTGCACGGGAGCGAGGTAAGGGCACGCTCTGTGTTCGGTAATAATAATGTCGTCTTCATATGGATTGTATTAAAACGTAATTCGGCTTCGGACTTTGTTTGGAATTAGCCCGTAAACAAAGCAGAGGAAATGAAAGGGTAACCATAGGAAATAAGCTCTGCGTAATGGGGAGGGACTGGGTGGGCTGTGCGAAATGAAAAAAAACGGCTCTGCGGCTCAAGTTTTAAGCTCGGAAAATTGTGTTAGTTGTATTACTAAGAGACGGAATTCCTGGTTTAATTATATTGTGTGTTTTTTTATGAGAAATATTTAAAGAGCTCATATTACGCTATTTTCGGATCGAGGTTATAATGTTGTTTCCTCTTCACAAACAGACCTGGAGTTGTGTTTTGTTGGAGTGTTGTGGGCTCCACTGTGTTTTTAAACTCCATACACCTTCACTAGAATTATTTGAATGATTTCAGTCCTGTTTTTTTACTGCCGAAACATTGTATGTCCTAATAAATCTCACATTTTGCAAGTAAGACGTGTGCAGGATTTTTCTCTATGTTCTTGGGCTACTCCATCTCCTCCAACACAACCATCTCAAGTAATTGATGTGCAAAGTTCTCATTCTTTTATCATGATTTCAGCTCTGAAATTGTCAATCTCTACCCAACTAAAAGGTAAAAAGTAGATGTTAACTTGAAAACTATCGCTTCATGACATCACAAAGTGGAAAAGAGCATTTTGAGCTTAGAGATGTCTACAAACAAATGTGTGAAAAATCAACTGAAGAAGCAGTTTGTATGAGCTGCGAAATGTATTCGACCAAATAAACTTTTGTCCGGTTGATAAACTGAATTCCTCCTTTTACCATCTACAGACTAATAATAAAGAGATACTCAAATATGTGTGAATGAAACAAAACAATATGAACATTTTTGCCCAAAATTTGACAAAAATTATAGCATGTTTTTCATTTTTGTTGTTTTATTGCCCTGAAAAATGTGGAAAAACGTGTCCTTAATGTGAGCAGGCTTGCATCTCCACAAACCTGACTCCTGTTTGTTTCCATGTAAATATTGTTCCTTTTGCTATAACTTTCCACAGTCTGCCATAAAACATAAATATCTCCATGTCGAAAGTTCGTATGGTTTAACTTTTTATTTCCATGGAGTCATGCAGGTGCCACCTTCAGAAAGCTACACAGTGTTGCTTTAAAAGGAAAAGCACAAATGTTGAACTTCCTTATACAATACAGTAAAGTTTTTTTGTTTTTTAATGGTGTTGTACCTGCTTTTTACAGTCTTAAAAATGTGAAAAATAGAACTAATTTATTGTAAACATTTTGTAGTGGTCCATTCCTCACTTACCTCATGTATTCTGGGCATCCAAATGATGAATGGTAAAGCAAAGAACAACTAGCATGCTAACATGCACTTCCTGATCATCTAACAATGAAACACTTTATATGAGACACAGACCGTAAAGAGCTGATTATTTTGACCTTAAGATCTACTTTGGGAATAAATCTGTACTGGCACAAGACACATTTAGCTCAAATAAATGGAAAACAACCTGGTACATCCCCTTTTCAACTACCACACTTTTATTTATTTATGCTGACAATGAAAACATTCAGCTTTGTGTCAGTTTTAGTTTCATGTGGATAGGTCCAGTATTTACAGAGATGTGAACCATAAACCAGGTCAAAGCTCCAAGCATCTACAGCACAGGTGTCAAACTCATTTTGGTCCGGGGGCCGGTATCCAACCTACTTTGATCTCCAAAGGGGCCGGATTTTCTACAAAAACTCATTTTGACATTATATTGGCCCCAAAAATAACAATAAGTTAAAATATTTGTGCAGAGAAATTCAAATCTATTACAGAAATCTTTTTTAATTGATGAACTCTTTCTTTTACAAATATTATAATATTATGAACAACCTGAAACTTTAAGAAAAATGCAACTTCAACACAATTGGTTAACATGAACTTGTAATGTCCAAATAGGAATAAGTCAGTTTTTCGTTTGAAAATCCTGCACTTGGCTCCACTTTTCTCATGTTGGACATTTTTCTGATGAGGGTGTTTCACGGTCAAAAGTTTCAAAACGATCGTCATTTTAAAGCGTTTGAAAGAGACAAGTCTTCATTTGTGCTGCTCTGGTGGGAGGGGCCACGTACAGAGGCTGTGCTTCAGGACCGCAGAAAATTACCAACTTATTTTAATAGAAAATATAATTAAAATAGTTTGAGTAGAAAATCAGCCGAGGCCCCTTTAAAGGTCTTGGAGGGCCGGATACTGGCCCCCGAACCAAAATGAGTTTGACACCCCTGATCTACAGTATGACACAGAAAACACAACCACAGTATAGAACATAACACACACAACTACATTTAAACAGTGTAGTGTTAGTTTCCTGTTTGTTTTAATATTCTGTATGGTGTGTTTGTGTTTGTGCAGGTCCAGGGCCGGGCCGCTACGCTCTGCCCCCCACTGTGGGCTACATGAACCATGACTTCACCAAACCCTCCAGCCCCGCCTATACTTTCCACAGCCGCCAGAGCAGCGCCAGTGAGTACACAAACACACACACACAAATATATTACACACAAACACTTTTCTGGTGGAGGGGTCTCTATGGAGATATTACCTGAAATGTTCCACAGTACGGAGCATTCCCACCAAAGCAGCAATAACATAAATAACATGGTGGACCCTCCTCTGCCCTATACATAAACTCTGTATAAAACGGATCATTTATTGTTCATTGAATTATTATAACTTTATTTGATTTCTTAAACTGTGGTTGTTGTTTTGCAGTGGTGTCAGTCGACTCCAGCCCAGGGCCCAGGTACAGTGTGGACTCTCGGGTGACCAGGTTTGGGCGCATGCAGACGCCCTCCTACTCCATCCTGGGCCGAGGGAGGCGTTTAGGTCAGAATGTTTTCAGATTCTTTATTATGCTGATGTTCAAACATCTACTGACCCTCTCTTACTGAAAGTGGTCAGTAAAAAGCAGAACATCCAGACCAATGTAAGATGGAATCTGGTTGGTTGAAGCGCCAAGCTGAGAAATCAATCTTTTGTTAAGATGAGAATGTTTCCTTCCTCCCTCAAAAGCACAAATCTCTTCCCTCTGCATGTTTTTCACAAACCACAGTCTCTAACAGTCTGTATTTTACTAACACAGGCTGAGGTCTGCCCCTGCTCATCACCGTGTTTGTTTTGCTTCATTTGGGCGCTTCACCTTTGGCGTCCACACAAAACACAGCTCTGCTCTGTGACTGGTCTGAACCACTGGTCAAGTGTTCAGTCACAACAATGAGAGACTCTCATGAGTTTGTAAACTCACAAATATTATGAGAATCTTACCAGGTCAAGTTACAAATGTAGAAACACTGATCTATAATAGTGATAAAGTGGTATTTTTTTCTATTTTCTCTCTAATATCGAGCCGTTTGGAGCCTAAATGTTGTGATCAAACACAAGAAGGAGCAATATTCTATCAGTATTTCTTTAGTTTCTGAATATCACCAACTGAAAAAGTACCTGAATACAGTTATTTTCCAGCACTGTGTGTCCGATCCTTGATTGTCACCATGGAGATGTGATTGTTTGTCTGGAGTGTTCTACAGTGTGACAGGAAACTATTGTCTATTGTCTATTTCCAAGAAGACAAGCTTTAAAACACCTGTAATTAAACAAATACACAATAACACTGTGGAACATTCCAGACAAAGCAGTACTATCTCCTCAGAGACAAAAAGGTGGCGGATCTCTCCAGAAAAGTGCCATAATGCCCCTTTAACGTGGCATCATCTGAAGCCCCGTCAGCATCATCACACTGCTGCAGGCTTTAGCAGAGAGGAGCTGTTGTTTTACATTATCCATGGTACAGAGGGCAGACGACAGCTACAGGAGTTCATTAAAACACGGACTATCTGGACACTTTGTACTCTGGATTCTCTTGTAACTTTGGCTGATTAGAACAAAGCAGAAGTGACCAAACGACACTTTTGACCTGCCTGCTGGAGCGTGACGGCTGCTGTCATAACACTGCATCTCATCACATGAGGTCGTTAGCGCTAATCAGTGGACCAGGGACCGCTCGGAAAAGCAGAGGAAAGGACAGAGCCAAAGTACGACTAAAGGGGGAATTGGGGGAGTTTTTAGTACCATTACATTTTTTTTTATGATTACAAACATATTTTTGGGTTTTATTAAAGTATGTATGTTGTATTTTTCGCTACTGTGTTCAAATAATTTCCATTGTGGATTGTTTAAAGTGGAACTAAACACTAAATCCACTACAAACTAGATACACTTGGGCCCAGTCAAGCAGAAGTAAACAACAAGGCCAAAAATTCAAGTTAATGCATCTGATATAAAAATGTATTCAACAGATACATATGTACTCTAGTTTATGAAACTGTTTACCTTTTTTCTGTACCATTTTTAGTTCTAAAGTTACATACGTTTTAAACAGACCATGTATGAAACATGGAACAAAAATTATTTCCCAAATTTCAAAGACCTGAAAATCATGTAAATAAATGGATGTATTTCATCATATCTTGTGTTATTCGATCTTTAAACTGTTGATGAAGGTACATGATTTTTCAAAAAAAAAAAAGGATTTAAAATGATAAAAATTTGCTTGGAAGGACTGACATATTTTATAGAAATAGTTTCCTTTCATTTTGAAGTAATATTTAAGTATTCAGAAGAAAAAAGCGACAAATTATGTAAAATCCTGCACCTTCTACTTGTTGCACAATTTTCCCTCCGTTACTTTTCCCTCCGTTACCATGACCTTTCTTAATAAAAAATCTCATGAGTCAAAAAAAGTCAGAGGTTTTTCAACCTAATCTTGTACCATATGGTAGAAAACTATATGAAGCAAATATTCAAACCAGTTTGTTAAGGATATGTAAGTGAGAACCAAGAGTTATCACTGTTTGTATTTATTGACCAAAAAGTGCTGCATATTTCATTCCCTCTGTTACCGACATGAGTTTTTAAATTTTTTGTCAGCAACTTGAAAGAATATCACAGGTTTAACTTTACCCTGTTGGAGTGTAACTCTTTCCTACATTCTGATACCTTATACTTATACCTTATACTAATACTTATGTCAATAGTTCCTCTAGTTTCTGAATAAGAGTTATTTGAATGTAAAAAATCTGCCCGTTTCCCTCCGTTACCACTTGACCGGACCCATTTGCAGCTTTGTGCTCAAAAACTGTGTGTGCTGCCTTCAGTGGCCTCTACGATTTCCAGTAGTTGGTGATATCACACAGAACTGCTCTGATTAGTGGCAGAGTTTGAAGTGTGGAGACCTGTTCGACCAATCACACCATTTCTTATATCTCCAGACTCTGCCTCTCCTCCACCTCTCTTTTTTAGTCCTCCCACTGCCCAGTTTAGTCCTGCTTTAAGTTTGTTGTGTAATTATTTTTCAATGATTTGTGCCTTATTCATTACAGTTCCATTAGACCAGTGCTTCTCAATTATTTTCTGTCACGTCCTCCCTAGGAAGAAGAAAACATTTTGCAGCCCATTCACTCTCCGCCGCGACTAGAAATATTTTATAATTTGTATTCCAAAACTGGGATGATTGTTGGCAATATTCAGCACGTATTCGCTGAAAAAACTCAAGCAGCTTTTCAGTTTGATTGGATTGTAAAGTCTTTAACTGACGCCTTAATTTACACCACCGGTCAAAAGTTTTAAAACACACTTTTTCCAGTTTTTTACCATTTCCTGTTGACCAAAACGTATTCTAAACTTCTGATTCATGAAAGTGTCCACCTTTGGCAGATATAACAGCTGAACACACTCGTGGCTTGTTCTTTTTACAATAGAAAAGATCAAATATTCTTCAGAAAGTTCTTCCCAAGTCTGTTACAGAAGTTTCCATAAATGTGTGGCACTTGTAGGTTTCTTGTCTTTCACTCTTCTGTCCAGTTCGTCCCAAACCAGCTCGATGGGGTTTGAAGTCTGGACACTGTGCTGGACACTCCAGGTTTTCAAGTTCACCATCTTGTTCTTTTTTCCTGAGGTATTTTTGGCAGAGCTTGGACTTGTGATTTGTTATCTTTTATCTTTTTTTTTTTTTAACCTCTGTAAGTTCAGTTCTTACCTTTGTACCATTTCAAGCTCTTCATTGGACTTGTACGACTTAAATTGCAATAAATAACTGGGAAAATTAGGGAGTTCTAAAACTTTTGACCAGTAGTGTATTTGGCTTCATGCTGTCCTCTGCCAACATTTTTAGACTCAGTAAACGCACAATTTTTTCCTTGTTTTCCACTGTAGTCAGAGTTAAGCTGAACGTTACATATGCTTGGCCATATTTTCTTGTCTTAGCTTTCAGAAGACTCTTGTTTGTTTTGTTATCTCCATCTTTCTCCTCCTTTCTTTTCATCCCTGTTAAATATTTTTTGCCCCCGGCATTGCCCCACTATCTGAGAAGGACTGCATTAGACCAATAGTAATTTAATATCTGTCTTCGTGCCGTGGAGAGCCAATACTTTTGAATTCATTTTGTGTGTGTGTGTGTGTGTGTGTGTGTGTGTGTGTGTGTGTGTGTGTGTGTGTGTGTGTGTGTGTGTGTGTGTGTGTGGTAGCCAGTGATCCAGACTACACTAGAGTCTGGTCACTGGTGAAGCTCCAATGTTGTGCCATGTCTGTTCATAATTTAGACTATGCCCTGTATTATCTGAAAATCTTACTCTTAACATTCCAGGGGAGCAGTCCCAGACGCCGGGCCCCGGGACCTACAGTCCAGAGAGGGCCCCCCCAGTGAACGCCCACCGCAGATTCCCCTCCTACACCATGAGCACCCGCACCCGTTACCGCACCGTGGACGACGTCCCAGCACCCAACAGGTACATGGAGTATGGGAGCTTTCACTGGAAATGAGACTCTGAGATGCTGCCACAGGTTCTGTTTTATCTCTAAGCTTCAGAGAACTAAAAGATGGTCCAGGATCAAAGCAGAACTAACTTAAACCAGGATAAAGCATGAACAGAATCAGATCTAAGGTCCAGACGTACAAGACGATTCAATCAGATTGCAGAATTTATGAAAGCAGAATGAGCCGCACATGGGTCTCTCGTTGGGTTGCCAGTTTCAAGGCTGAAATCCAGTTGTTTTAAACCCAAAATGCCTCTCTCTAATCTGAACGGTCACTACCGAAACCCCAGGACCCACAGCCAATCATGACTGTATTTTTCGAACTATAAGTCGCTCCGGAGTATAAGTCGCACCAGCCAAAAAATGCGTAATGAAGAAGAAAAAAACATATATAAGTCTCACTGGACTATTGCACTTTAAGGGGAAATTCATTTTATAAAATCAGAGACCATGAACCGACATTTCATCCTGAAAGGCAAGTTATAGTAAAAACAATAGAACAGAGAACAACAGACTGTTAACGTCACATATGAACAGTTCTTCAGATAAATATAACATAAACAACAGAACAGAACAAGTTTAACAAACTTTCCATCTAACCCTAACCATAAAGTCATTGAATTCTTCATCCTCGGTGGAACTCTGTGACCTCTGGAGCGCTGCTTTCTCTTCTGTGTAGCTGTCGTCAGACTCAGTATCAGTTCCAGTTGGAATTATTCCGGCCTTTCTGAATCCTGACAGGATGGTTTCAGTGTCACTGAAGTCCAGGCTTTGTCGATCCATCCAGTGGATTCCAGGAAAGTTTCATGGTGCATCCTCCCGGTGTCACAAGTTTCTCGCTCACTTTCGTTTCTCTCGATTATCGCTTTAGGCTGCAGATTTCGCTACTTGCAGCTTGTAACCTGCAAAATATGGTTTTCTTTTTGGGGGCATTTGTGTTTAGTGGTACAGAAGTAAATTTTCAGTGATACAGAAGTAATGGTGTGATCGACTGACATGATACAGACAGGACAGAGGCTCTTCCTGAAGGAGACATGCGCAGTAGAGCCAAGTGACAGTGGTACAGGAGGAACAGGAGCAGCAGATTCTGACACACAAGACTAGAGCCTCTCACGGATTCAGTGTGAAAATTTTAATATAAAAGTCGCACCGGAGTATGTTGCAGGACCACACAAACCATGAACAATAGTGCGACTTATAGTCAGAAAAATACAGTACTGAGAATGAGACAAACTTATATGTGTCCTCTGTCTGCTGAATACTAGACCTTAAAGGAATTCATTTTGTACCATAGTTTAAGAAACATTAAACCTAACACTTCTCTTACCCCTCTCTTCTCTCCAGTTATGTTTTACCAAACTTAATGGGCAGCCAAGTCCCCCACAAACCATCCAGTGCCAGTTTTTCCTTCTCGGGCCGGAGGGGGGTGGGAGCCCCCTCTGAGGACCTGTCCAAGAGCCCGGGGCCCGCCAAATACAGCAGCACTCACCCCGACGTCATGCACCGCCGCCAGCCCTCCTTCTCCATGCAGCCGCGCACCCAAAGGCCCAGCTACACCTCTGGCGTGCCCGGCCCCGGAGCCTACAGCCCAGAGAAGTTCTACCTGCACCTCCCCAAGAGGCCCGCGTTCACCATGGGTATACGACACTCCGAGTTTGTCACGCCCCTAGTGGTGGACGTGGTGAAATGACGATATATGCAAGTTACTGTAGTATTTTTACATTTTGTTGTATGTATGGCTGGAATAAAGTTGTTTTAAGTAAAGTGTAAGGAATCTTTCAATATTTTAAAGGTCTTATAGTAATTTACTGTTTTTGGGTCATCAAATACAGAGGTGGGTAGAGTAAACAAAGATTTTACTCAAGAAAGACAAACGTTACTTCAAAACAATAGCAGAAGTGCAAAGTAGCGGTCCAAGAAATTACTGAAGTAAGAGTAAAAAAGTACTACTGAAGGGGAACGAAAAGTACAGTAATTTCCAGACTCTAAGCCGCTACTTTTTTCTCACACTTTGAACCCTGCGGCTAATAAAACGGTGTGGCAAATATATGGACGGATTCTTTGTTTGGCACATTGTCCATTCATAAATACGGTCTATGGTTTGGTAACACAGCGGATACGTGCAGAAAATGCTGCTGTGTGTGAAGGTGCAGCGTTTGCTAGTGATAATATCAGTGCACTCAAACAGTTTATCGCTTGTGATAAAATAAGTTATGATGCTAAATGAACATTAGTGAGTGGGATACGTCTTACCCGTTTGCGTAAATGACGAGAAGAAATGTCTCAAACTTCAGTAGCTGGACGACCACTCAAACCTGATCGACACAACTAACCGAGACCTTTGGGAGAGTCTGAAATCTGCTGAAATCCTCCAAGACACTGACAGATACAGACAGGACAGAGACTCTTTCTACAGGAGACATGCGCAGTAGAGCATGGAGAGAGACGGGGGTGATATGCGGAGGAAAATGTTCGTTTGATTGTGTTTGAACAGTTATTTTGCGCTTCATACACACACCCTTCTCATGGAAAACACACGAAGAAAGAAGAAATGCAGCTTTTAAGTTGAAGGCGATTGATGTGGCTGTCGAAGCAGGAAACAGAGCTGCTGTACGTGAGCTTAACATCAGTGAGGCGATGGTTAGATTTTGGTGACAGCAGCGTGACGAACTGACTCAAAGCAAAAAAACTACAAAAACTTTCAGAGGCGATAAAAGCAGACGGCCCGAACTTGAAATCGTTCTTTAGTTAAAATTTTGTTGATGTGGAGTATATTCAGGTGCACTCAATAGTCCTGAAATTACGGTACTACTCAAGTAAGACTAATTTGAAGAGTAACTATCGGGCATAACATCCGATTTATAATTTTGCTTAAGTTAATGTAATTGGAAGGAAAAAGCATATTAAATAAGTCTCAAAATCTGATGTTTTCAAAGGACAGATGCAAAAATTGAGACAAACTAAATCATATGTGAAGGAGCTGCAAGAAACACAAATGTTCAAATCATTTCCTATTGTCACATAAAGATTTTGTCACTTTCTCAGAGTGGGAAGAGGAACCAAAACTTTTTTCAAGTTGAAGTACTGCTACTTCATAAAAAAAAAATACCTCTGCTAGAAAGTACTCTGTATTCTTTAAAAAGTTACTGCAGTAAATGTAAATGAGTACTATCCACCTCTAATCAAATATAGACCTGGAGTTGCGTGTTGTTTCTTTCATATGTTCGATAGATAATTCAGTTTTTTGTTGAGTCTCTGTCTCCAGAACCAAAAACTGTCTGTTCCACCTTGTGACATCACCAAGTGGTTTCCCAGGAAATGGCTAATCTGTATTTTTAAAGCACATTTAACTTCTTTAACTTATTCAACGCTGAAGTTATCTTGACTAAAATGCAACTTTGAAGATAGCAGCTATTGTTGTTAGCTTGATTTAAACAGCTTTTTATTTTATTTTTATTATTTTGTTTTTCTTTATTTGGACTTTGGGTTATAAGCTCACAAATCACAATTTATTAGCTTTTACTAGTTTTCCATCTGCATGCATTTAAACCAATTATGTTTTCCTTTTAATACGCACAGTAAATAAAAATAAAATTTGACACTCAACAAAATGTATTAAAATAGATTTATTATTTTAAAAAATCTAAAATAAATAATACATTAAATATTAAATAACAACAGTGGATTTCGTTATAGCTGGTCTAGACAAGTCAAGTTCACAGGTTTCAATTTGAGCACTTTTAACATTCGGAAATCAGAATAGTCATGTGTAATGTCACCAACTACTTGAAATTACAGAGAACACTGAAGGCAGCACAAACTTAGACACCTAAAATCGGACCTGAAAGCTGCAGATGTACCGAGCTTGCACCAAAATTGCCAAAAAATAAATAAATAAAAATAAGTAGGGGAAGCCACGTGCAACCACGGACCCACTGCAAGTAACAGTGGCGAAGGCCAGAGGTCTTTATAGAACTTCAACTGGTAACTCACAAATCAAAATAGTTTTATAACTACTTGGAAAAGATGTTAAATGTTAGTAAACACATAAGTAAGTTAGACAGTACAATTTAGTACAAATATAGTAGTACAGTAAAAGCAGCCAGTAGTAGTAATACAGTTAGTCAGTAGTAAGAGACAGTTGTAGTATAGTAAGTAGTATAGTAATATAATAGAAGTAAGTAAGTAGTAGTAGTAGTAGTAGTTAAGTAGCAGCTTCACAGTAGTAGTCAGTAGTAGTAGTAATAGTATACAGTAGTACCAGTTTAAAGTAGAGTTAGTCACAGTAGTAGTAGGGTAGTTAGTAGGTATGCAGTAGCAGCTGCAGTGTAGCCCAGCAAGCAGCAGTAGTAGTAGTAGTAGTAGTAGTAAAGTAGTAAGTAAAGTAGTAACAAGTAAAGTAAGTCTAGTAATAGTAAGTAGTAAGTAGTACCAGTAGCAGACAGGAAGTAGTAGTTAGTAGTAGTAGTAGTAGTAGTAGTAGTAGTAGTAGTAGTAGTACAAGTAGTAGTAGTATAGTAGTAGTAGCAGTAGTATACAAGTTGTACAATAAGTAGTTAGTAGTAGATAGTAAGTAGTAATAGTAGTAGTAGTAGTAGTAGTAGTAGAGTAGTTAGTAGAAGTAAGCAGTATAGTAGTAGTAGTAGTAAGTAGTAGTAGTAGTAGAATAGTAGTATACATAGTAAGTGTAGTTAGTATAGTATAGAGTAGTAGTAGTAAGTAGTAGTAGTAGTAGTAGTAAGTAGTAGTAGAAGTAGTAAGTAGCAGTAGTAGTAGTAGTATAGTAGTAGTAGAAGTAGTAGTACTAGTAGTAGTAATATAGTAGCAGTAGTAGTAGTGTGTAGTAGTAGCGTAGTAGTATTAGAGAAGTTAGTAGTAGTAGTAGTAGTAGTAGTAGTAGTATACATTTTGGTAGTACAGTAGGATATTGATGACATCAGTATTATCGATAATAGTTGTAAACTAAAGAGAAAATTTCAGTAGTAGTTGCAGTATCAGTATAAGCAGTACTATAAGTAGTAGTGCATGGTGGTAAATAGAGTAAGTAGTAGTATAAGTAGTAGTAAAAGTATGTCTTGTTCTTACATGGTTGGACCTGATCTGTCCTCTGCTCCTCCACTGGTACAGCAGCTCGTACTTCAGGGGGAAGATGTCCCTGTGAGCCCAGGTGGACGGGGGCTCCCACTGCACCAGCACGGTCCCGGGGTTCAGACATGACACCTGCACGGACTCTGGAGGGTCCGGCTTCACTGCACACGGGGAAGAGACGTTAGGACGGTTTGGATCATACAGTTATGTCCAAAATACAGAAAAACTGTTTTTCACTGGATGGAAGTATCAAAAGCAGATGAAACCAGACATGTTAACAGTTTAGGAGACCAGATTCTAAACTGGGACACACCTGGCTTGGTATAAATAAAGTTGTGAAAAGAGCGAAAAACATTGTGCATTCTTGTATCAGTCATGATTCTGACTCTTTGTTTGCTTTATGTTCATTCGCAAACACGTTTTTCTGTATTTTGGCAAAACAAATGACAATTTATGCTCCTCTTTACTGTTGGCAGGGATCAGATTAGTCAAAAATTGTGATAGTCCTGTTTTAGTCCTGGTTTAGACTACCTTGATTCATCAGCCAGTTTCACTTTGTGGAAACCATCTGACCTCGCAGCATTAGGATTCGTTCGCTCGACAGTAGGCGGGTACTTTTTTATTTAACCAATCGCTGCTATTTGACGTATGTGACGGAGCTAACTACTATATTAAGCTTTTTCCCCAAATCCTGTAGGAAGAAGGGCAATAACGTCTTTCCCCTTGATAAAATTCACCAAATATTCTCTTTGTTCCGGCTTTAAATCCTCGATCTCGGGAATCGTTGCCAACACAGAATGTCTGTCTTCGTCTACATCCATCTCGACCGCTTTGTTTAATGTTGTGCTTCACAGCTCTTCACTGATTGGCCAATGCATGCTCTACAACTTCCGGGGTTCTTGCAAACCGTCTAGTGTATTCCGATTCCTGACCTAGTCACTGGAGAGAAATGAAATTGAGTGGAGGCACTAGATGGCACCAGTCTGGCTAGGTTTAGATGTGGTGGTCAAATTGAAATTGGTCAAAATGGGAAAACCTGGGACATTTCTTGGATAAAAAAAACTAGGACAGTGGACACAGGGCTCAAAACTGGGACTGTCCCGGTAAATAGGAACGTCTGGTCACCCTATACACAGAGTATCTTTAATAACAGGGAGATAGTTTCAAATGTTGGTTTTGTATTTTTATTCTGTACATTTCTAAAAACATTCATGCTTCTTTTTGGGGAATTAAAATGTTCAACAATTTGGGGATTCAAACTCATCTTTTAGTAAAAACCTTCAAAATGATGTTAACATGATAATATGTAACAGGGGGTGGAAGGTCAGCTGCATCATTCCATGGAAATAGAAAGTTAAAGCCATAATTCGGAACATCCTCCATGGAAATAAATATGTTTTATGTCGTGCTGTGGAATATTATGGCCAAAGGAACAACACTGGAAACACGCAGGATAAGTAAGAGTCAGATTTGTGGAGATGAAAGTCCACTCACAGTAACAAGTGCAATAAATATAACTATAATGAAAAATCAAGCTGTTATTTTAGTTTAGTTTAGGGCAAAAAAGTAACAAACTGGAGCTTTAAGTCAAAGTCAAAGTTTGTAGGAGAGTGTGAAGTGAAGATGTCCCACATAGATTTTAGGGTGACTGTTGTGTAAACGTAGCACAGAAATAAAAGAGTATTTATTGTTGTTTAATGTTATTTACCGATGTCCTCCATCATGAAGGTGGAGAGGTGAGAGCTGCTGCCTCCTGGATAAACCGCCGTCACGTTCATGATGTAATCTGTGAGCAGCTTCATCTCGGGCAGGTGACAGTGCCACAGCTAAAACACACAAACACACACAAACACACACACAAAACACACACAAACACACACACACACACAGGGTTATATTAGTGCTTATGACAGATTTTCATCATTCTCTAACTTTGATAAAACCTGCTGTAAATGAGTTTTACACCAAACAAGAAGCTGTTTGAGAAGTGAATCCTAGTATACAATATAGTAATAGTAATAGTGATACTATACATTGGAGCAGTAGTAGTAGTTTACAATATAGCAGTATAGAAGTAGTAGTAGTAGTAGTACTAGTAGTAGTAGTAGCAGTATTAGTAGTAGTATTAGTAGTAGCAGTATACAATATAGCAGTATAGAAGTAGTAGTAGTAGTAGTAGTACTAGTAGTAGTAGTAGCAGTAGTAGTAGTACTAGTAGTAGTAGCAGTATACAATATAGCAGTATAGAAGTAGTAGAGTAGTAGTAGTAGTAGTAGAACTAGTAGTGGTAGTAGTGGTAATAGTAGTGTACAATATAGTAGTAGTAGTATACAATATAGTAATCGTAGTGATAGTATACGTTGGAGTAGTAGTATGCAATATAGCAGTATAGAAGTAGTAGTAGTAGTAGTAGTAGTAGTAGTAGTAGTAGCAGTACTAGTAGTGGTAGTAGTGGTAATAGTAGTGTACAATATAGTAATCGTAGTGACAGTATACGTTGGAGTAGTAGTAGTAGTATGCAATATAGCAGTATAGAAGTAGTAGTAGTGGCAGTAGTAGTAGTAGTGATAGTCGTAGTGTACAATATAGTAGTGTAGAAGTAGTAGAAGTAGTAGTGGTAGTAGTGGTAATAGTAGTGTACAATATAGTAGTAGTATACAATATAGTAACCGTAGTGATAGTATACGTTGGAGTAGTAGTAGTAGTATGCAATATAGCAGTATAGAAGTAGAAGTAGTGGTAGAAGTAATAGTAGTAGTAGTAGTAGTGATAGTCGTAGTGTCCAATATAGTAGTATAGAAGTAGTAGAAGTAGTAGTGGTATTAGTAGTAGTAGTAGTAGTAGTAGTAGTGATAGTCGTAGTGTCCAATATAGTAGTATAGAAGTAGTAGAAGTAGTAGTGGTATTAGTAGTAGTAGTAGTAGTAGTAGTAGTAGTAGTGATAGTCGTAGTGTCCAATATAGCAGTATAGAAGTAGTAGTAGTGGTAGTAGTAGTAGTAGTGATAGTCGTAGTGTCCAATATAGTAGTATAGAAGTAGTAGAAGTAGTAGTGGTATTAGTAGTAGTAGTAGTAGTAGTAGTACTGATAGTCGTAGTGTCCAATATAGTAGTATAGAAGTAGTAGAAGTAGTAGTGGTATTAGTAGTAGTAGTAGTAGTAGTAGTACTGATAGTCGTAGTGTCCAATATAGTAGTATAGAAGTAGTAGAAGTAGTAGTGGTATTAGTAGTAGTAGTAGTAGTAGTGATAGTCGTAGTGTACAATATAGTAGTATAGAAGTAGTAGAAGTAGTAGAAGTAGTAGTGGTAGAAGTAGTAGTAGTAGTAGTAGTATACAATATTGTAATAGTAATAGTAGTAGTGATAGTAGTAGTAGTAGTAGTACTAGTAGTAGTAGTAGTAGTAGTAGTAGTCGTATATACACAATATAGAAATAGTAGTAGTAGTAGTATACAGTAATAATAGTAGTAGTAGTAGTATGCAGTAATAGTAGTAGTAGTATACAGTAATAGTAGTAGTAGTATACAGTAGTAGTATATAGTAATAGTAGTAGTGATAGTAGTAGTAGTAGTATACAATATTGTAATAGTAATAGTAGTAGTGATAGTAGTAGTAGTAGTAGTAGTAGTAGTAGCAGTAGTAGTAGTAGTCGTATATACACAATATAGAAATGGTAGTAGTAGTATACAGTAATAATAGTAGTAGTAGTATATAGTATATAGTAATAGTAGTAGTGGTATACAGTAGTAGTATGCAGTAATAGTAGTAGTAGTATACAGTAATAGTAGTAGTAGTATACAGTGGTAGTATACAGTAATAGTAGTAGTAGTATACAGTAGTAGTATATAGTAATAGTAGTAGTGGTATACAGTAGTAGTATACAGTAATAGTAGTAGTAGTATACAGTAATAGTAGTAGTAGTATACAGTGGTAGTATACAGTAATAGTAGTAGTAGTATACAGTAGTAGTATATAGTAATAGTAGTAGTGGTATACAGTAGTAGTATGCAGTAATAGTAGTAGTAGTATACAGTAATAGTAGTAGTAGGATACAGTGGTAGTATACAGTAATAGTAGTAGTAGTATACAGTAGTAGTATACAGTAATAGTAGTAGTGGTATACAGTAGTAGTATACAGTAATAGTAGTAGTGGTATACAGTAGTAGTATACAGTAATAGTAGTAGTGGTATACAGTAGTAGTATACAGTAATAGTAGTAGTGGTATACAGTAGTAGTATACAGTAATAGTAGTAGTGGTGGTTGTTGTAGTTTTACATCAGGTCAAGAAGCAGTTTGTGACGAAGTGTTGAAAAAAAGTGTTGAAAATGACAGTATGTGGAAAGTTCTAAACACACTGCTGACATCACACTGGGGAGATTTCAGATTTATTTTTTATTTTTTTCGATACTTAAAACATGGTTTCATCAAGTGTTTTGTTATATTTGTATTTGTCACTTAATCATTTCTGTACACAGTAAAGGAGTTTTGCTCGGAAATGGTTAAGTTATGAAATTCCCTACTGTGTCATGATTTCCAAATAAGAAGTACAATTTTAAAATGTTAATTTGCAAATTTGCAAAAATGTTAAATGTAAACTTTTATCTTAACTGTGTCAAATGAGTCGACCTGGGTCTGGGTGTATTTGCAGCTATGTGGTCAAACGTGTGAAAATGTGTGGCCATTTACAAAAAAATAAAATAAAAAAATAAAAAGAACATAAAATCATGTGCCACTTTTTGTATTTTCTGTACAAATATTTACATAAATAATTTGAAAAAAGTAAAATAAAATTAAATCAATCAATAAATCAATTATAACACCTTTAATTTATTTTAATTCTAGTGTTAGTCTGCGTTAACTATAAATTCATTTCAGTCTGTGAATATATTGAGATTTCTGATCTCTGGAAATGTTTTTTCTGGAATATTCTGCATTTTGGCTTTAAACATATCTATGCAAGGTCAAGTTACAAGTCAGATCTGTGGAGAGTCCCGCTCACAGTTACATAAGGCATGTTTTTTTATGGGACTCGCCACCAGAAAAGTTACAATTTTGTGCAAAAACAGTGGTTCATAGATAAAAATGCATTCAATTTGAGTTTTAATTTAAATTGTTGACTGAAATCCCCAACTCCAAAACTCCAAAATAAGTTTTGCAGGTCACTTGCGGATAAAAAATGACAAAATATTTTATCGGAATTGCATTTTTAGATCAGGGGTGGGCAAACTTTTTGACTCGTGGGCCACAAAGGGTTTTAAAATTTGACAGAAGGGCCAGACCAGGGGTAGATGGATGGAATTTTTTGGTAATCCACCTCATAAGAGAAAAAATATATCCCATAACTGAAAATCGTTACAAAGCATTACAACAAAATATCTGTCTTTCAAGTCCCACGGTATTTACTGTTTACTGAAATGACTTTTAAAACACTGAAAATTATTATTATTCGAGTTTGGCAGGCCGGATTATAAAGATTAAAGGGCCGCATATGGTCCCAGGGCCTTAGTTTGCCCACCCCTAGTTTAGACGGTGACGGTGTTTCTGGGTCTTAAAAACGCAAAAATCTGAAACCACCCGCCATAGTGAGCTCTTACCTCGCGAGCAGAGGGCGGCAGGGTGACGTTGAGTTGCGAGTGGGGGTCTCCAGGGGGGATGAGGACACACGGTCGGGTCTCTGCCTGCCTCTGCCTCTCACTGAAAAAGAACCCAATAAAGAGCACGTATTAGAAGTGCTCCACCGTGTTATTTAAACTCCACACACCTTCACTGGAATCATTTGGATCATTTCAGCCGAGAAATTGACGATCTTTACTGAATTAACTGTAAAAAGGTAACATTTTGAGCTTTGGAAATGTAGACAGACTAATAAAAATGAAACAAAACACAAGTCCAGGTTTGTTTTTGATGAAGTAAGAGCATTATAACATGACTTAAAGCTCACAAGAGTCAATTTTCAAATAATATAGCACTACAAATAGGGCTGCTCGATTATGGAAAAAAAATTATTTTGGTCAATATTAAAATCACAATTATTCAAACGATTATTTTTTAGTTATACAATGCATTTTTTTCAGCATTTCTCTCAAAAAACAACACTTTGTTATCAATAATTTACGCATAACTTTCAAATTAAAAATAAATATAAGCTACAAATATGAAACTTAGAGCAGTTTTGCGATGTTTAAAATGAATAAAATATACTTTGAACATGAAATAAGGCATAGAAAAAACATAAATAAACTATATATCCAGCTGTTCTACAAATAAAATACTTGTTTATATAAAAAATATCACAAAATAAACTTTGTTAAGCTTTTTCGTTTCAACTTGATTATATGAGTTTTGAGATTGATTGACACACAAATCAAAATTGTAATCAAAATTCAATTAATTGCACAGCCTTAACTACAACACTGTTATATTATTCTGTTATAAAGTATTTGGGTTTAGACAGGTACGCGCAGGTACAGAGGACATGACTGTACCTGTACGTGGCGATGTAATGCAGGGGCGTGGCTTGTGGAGGCTCCGCCCACGAGCACAGGGTCTGGTTGGGGACGCTGGAGCACACGCACTGGACGACGGGAGCGGGACGAGCAACTGAAAGAACCAAGGAAAACAATAATGTACCGCAGAGTTTAGTATAGTTTAGAGCAGCGGTCTCCAACTTTTTTCTTCTATTGAACTAGATTTATAAAACAAAAACGCCCGAGAACTGAGACGATTAAGAAAGAGGGTGAGCCTTGGGGTACAGTTAGATGCCAATAAAACATAAACCACTGTCCTTTTATTAGTGCACAAAGTTGGGATTCAAATTGATACATTTACAATAACAATAAGCATGTAATTAAGCACATTTTTGTTATTCAGCACAATGGTATAATCCCGAAACCCCTTGATGTGCTGTTTGTAAGGGGGTGGAGAGTTCCAGAGCAATAACAGACAAAGATCACTCTCGTTAACGCTAGGAACAGGTCACACATTGACAGCGTTGCTAGGGCCCGCTCCCTGTTTAATGAGCCTCACTACGGACTGGATCTTTGGTTGCCACTAGCAGAACCACCAGCCTCACTGAGCCGCATTTGACTGGAGCTGAACACTATGGGGGCTCCCTTAGTCCGCGTCTTTATACAGTCTATGGTTTACATGAGGGGTGTCAAACTTAAATTCACAGAAGCCAAAATTAAAAACTGGGACTAAGTCGTGGGCCAAACTAAATATTTATTGAAAAATTTCAACCAAATCTGCATGTTTTCTCTTCTTTTGAGATATGTAATGTTAAACCTTTTCTCATTAAAATAAATGTTTAATAATAGTTTTGCTTAAACATTGAATCCAGAACAAGTATAATATAAAATAATAACAATATTTTAAATATATAATGTCTCTGTAGTTGGTGGGCAGCTCTAAAACATATTTGACATGATCTCGTGGGTCAAATATAATTATATCGATGACCAAATTTGGAACCTGGGCCTGAGTTTGACATGTCTGATCTACACTAACTATGAAGAGTAATCAAACTGAAATGAAACAAAACACAACTCAAAGTATGTTTTTTTATGCACAAGCAACTAATGATATAGTATAAAGTTAGTTTATCAGAATATATCGCCTCTCAAAGCCAGTGGTCTAGTGGTTAATAATGGAAACAGTAATTGGTCACATTTTTACACAGTGCTTTTCTACTTTCAAGGCACTCAAAGCATTTTATGTCAAGGAACCACTCACCAGGAGCTGGAATTGTACCGTCAACCTGTACGTCAGTGGATCTAAGTGCTCAACTAATGATGTTTATGTCGAATTGCCAACCTTCGGATCAGTGGCCAAACAAAAATGGAAGATAATTTAGAATTTTAAATGCTGTTGAATTTCTCACTTTGAAATGTTCTACTCTGAAAAAGCATGTTTGAATTATTTTTATTATGAATTTTTTGTTTGCTGAAATTTTAAGTGTACATTTTCAGTGTATAAAATTCAATATTAAAAAAAATCACCTTTTACATATTCAGCACAAATATTTTCAAGCCTTCAAATTCTACAGTCAAAATTCAGAGTGTAAAATTCACAGTGAAGAAAATTCACAGTAATTGCTTGCCAAGGCAGAAGCAATCGATCCAAAGTGATCCGATCTAACTTAGTAAGAAACAGAAGATCTGATTGGTCAAAATTAGCCTCATCGAAACCTCATCTTTTTGACTTCTTAAGTGTAAACCCCGCCCACAGACGAGAACAACCAATAGGAAACAGCCTCCGTCCTCCTCGCTCACACGATCGATTGCTTCTGCCTTGGCAATTTGGATTTTTGCGAACTTTACAAGCTGAATTTCGACTGGTGAATTTGAGGGCTTGAAAATATCAGTGGTGATTTATTTATTTTTATTTTTTTGTTTATTTTGAATTGAAAGTAAACAAAAATTCAGGATAAAAATAATTCAAACATCTTTTTTGCAGAGTTAAACGATTCAAAGTGAGAAATTCAGTCGTATTTAAAATTCTAAATCTGACGGAACAAATGATCTTCCATAAACAAACACCCTGCCAACTGAGCTACTGTCGCCCCAATAATAATAATAATACTAACATTACTTCAAGCTACTACTACTACTTCAGTTCAGATAGTTACCTGTGGATGTGGTGTGGCCGACTCTGTGCAGCTCTACGGCCTGAGCTCCCAACACACACAAAAGAGTCACTACATGGACAAACATGACGGCAGCAGACGAGCAAACGACGACCAAACCTGCACATACGTAAATACAACGATACAGTGACAGATTCTGACTCATTTACAATCAGAAAATGTAGAAGAAACATTGTATATTACGCCAAAAAATCTGACTCTTGTGAGATATAAGCAGTGTTGGGGAGTAACAGATTACATGTACGGGAGTTATGTAATCAGAGTACAAATTATGAGTAACTGTATTCAGTTACAGTTACTGTTTCAGTGAGTGGTAATTGGATTACAGTTACTTTGTTGAAATAAATGGATTACACAGAGGTATTTTCCTGTTTTCACATTTTGGGCTAAACCAGGAATAAAACCATAACTAAGACCAGGACTAAAGCAGGACTAAAACCAGGATTAAAGCAGGTCTAAACCAGGACTAAAGCAGGACTTAACCAGGACTAAAACCAGGACTAAACCAGGTCTAAACCAGGACTAAACCAGGACTAAAACCAGGACTAAAACCAGGACTAAACCAGGACTAAAGCAGGACTAACCAGGACTAAAACCAGGACTAAAGCAGGACTAAAACAGGTTAAACCAGGACTAAAGCAGGACTTAACCAGGACTAAAACCAGGACTAAACCAGGTCTAAACCAGGACTAAACCAGGACTAAAACCAGGACTAAAACCAGGACTAAACCAGGACTAAAGCAGGACTAAACCAGGACTAAAACCAGGACTAAAGCAGGACTAAAATCAGGTTTAAACCAGGACTAAACCAGGACTAAACCAGGACTAAAACCAGGACTAAAGCAGGACTAAAACCAGGATTAAAGCAGGTCTAAACCAGGACTAAACCAGGACTAAAACCAGGACTAAAACCAGGACTAAACCAGGTCTAAAACCAGGACTAAAGCAGGACTTAACCAGGACTAAAACCAGGACTAAAGCCAGGACTAAACCAGGTCTAAACCAGGACTAAAACCAGGACTAAACCAGGATTAAAGCAGCACTAAACCAGGACTAAAACCAGGACTAAAGCAGGACTAAACCAGGACTAAAACCAGGACTAAACCAGGACTAAACCAGGTCTAAACCAGGACTAAAACCAGGACTAAACCAGGACTAAACCAGGACTAAAACCAGGACTAAACCAGGACTAAACCAGGACTAAAACCAGCACTAAACCAGGACTAAACCAGGACTAAAACCAGGATTAAACCAGGTCTAAACTAATACAATATGACACTTAACAGTCAGATGGACATAAAAGTGAGTTGTGATCTCATATAAAAATAATTTCTCTATTAATAATATTTTTATATGGTCAAATAAAGACTGAACAAACATGAATTTTCAGGATGTGGTTGATACATTCATGTAGTTTTAAAAAGCATGACAATATCAAGTAATCCAAAGTATTCAGATTACATTACTCACTTTATCTGTAGGGGAATACATTTTAAAAGTAACCTTCCCAACACTGGATTTTAGCCATGTTATAATGTCATTAATGCCTCAAAAACAGACCTGGACTTGTGTTTTGTTTCATTCACATGTTTCAGCAAGTCTTTATTATTAGTCTGTCTACATCTCCAAAGCTCAAAACGCTCTGATCCACCTTGTGATGTCATGAAGCGGTAGTTTTCAAGTTAAAATCATCTTTTTTTACTTTTAATACAGAACAGATTGGCAATTCCTGTGCTCAAATAATCCAAATTATTCAAGTTAAAGTGTACGGAGTTTGGGAGAAATACTCAAATAAATAAGTAACATGTGAATGAAACAAAGCACAACCCAGGTCACTATAACAAAAATCAGAAAATAGGAAAATATGGGCCCTTTAAATACATTTTTCATTTGTGTAAAAAAAATATACATAGTGCAGCTTTATTGTTTTGTATCTTTAAGTTAACTTTGAGTAAAAAAACTACCAACAGTCTAACTAAACCAAACCACAACAAACAAAAATAATAATAAAAATACATGACTTATTGAATATTTGATACCACATTTTCGTTGTAAGCTCTGATATAAAATATAAATACACATTTTTGTCAGCTTTAGCCACACTTACCTTAAAGTACCAGCTGCTTCTGTCTGAAAATAATCCGCTGATACCTCCCCTTGCTCCTCAAGACAAAGTTCAGAGATAAGACTGAGGAAACACCTGCTTCCATTTCTGCCTTTAAACTGTCTGAATGTGTCAAAGTGAAACAGGAATCTCCTTGAACCACAACACAATTACCTCAATTTCCCCCAGTGTGATCCTCTGCCTTCTCTCTCTCTACGTCACATCCTCCAAGATCTCATGTCGTCTACGCTAAGGAAAGTGGGGCAGACGAAAAAAGTACTTGGTACTTGGAAGTAAAAATAAAGACGTAGTAAGGGACAGTACAGGTTTTCAAAGTTTCGGTGGTTGAAGTATTTCCTGCTTATCGATTAACCCCAGATAAGGAGAAGTAGATAGTAGAAGTAAGACGGGAAATGAGCAAAATAATATATCTCAAGTAGAAAAGTAGTACCAAAAAGGTGGTCCAAGAAATTAAGAGTAAAAAGTATTTGGAAAGAAGATTTTTGTCACTTATAGACTTACTCACAGTGGGTAAAAGGAAACAAAACTCAAGTAAGAGGACAAATGTGCAGCAGAAAAGTAACATTTCTTTAAAAAGTACTGCAGTAAATAAAGTACTTGCTGTTGTACTTTAGGAGTGTGAAAAGATAATCATAAAAAACTACAAAAATGGCGGTTTTGTCTTGATACTACATGAGCAGCGGAACTTATTTCAAAACTCCTGACACCTGAAATGATGGGTTTTTCAACAAAATTATGTAAAATCTGAACGTAATAAAACAGTTTCACACGTTTTTGGAAGTTTGAATGAAGTTCTGAAGTTTTGTATTAATAAAACAACATTTAAAAATTCTGATTAAACACAGTACAGTTGGAAAACGTTCCCAAAAAAGACACAATGTACTTCTAAAAATAGACAAAAAAGATGATGACACACTAGTTTCGAGACACACTTGCCCGTCCGTGCTGTAATAACGGACTTCTACTTTTCGTCCTCGGATCTTTTTTCGAGACGTTTCCACATCTCTGGGCAGTTGTTGTACAAGAGAAGAGATAGATGACGTAGGCTTGGGACAGAATCGTACTCCTAACCGTAAGGAGAGTTTACAAAGAAGATGAATAACCTCTAAAACCAGTTCAGACATGTTTTTGATGCGGGAACAGCTTTATAACACGGTCAAAAAATCTAAAAAAAAAACAGATTTCGCATGGTATATTGAACTGAAATAAAAACTACAATTGAGCAACTACAAAATGTGTTTAATTTTGTAACAACCCGCATAACTTTAAAGTACAATGGAACCTCCAAACATTACGAAGTATCATTAACACACACTTATTTACATAGCTTGCCTTACATCATGTTGTTCATTCAGTTGATCCTAGAACTATGGTTTAGAGTCTTTACAATCAAATAAATATCATGCCTCTTTTCTTGGTCCAAAAACAAATATAACAACATTCACAAATATAGTTCATGACTTACAAATAACTAATTAACTGTACATGTAACAGATAATACTCCCTACAACTGTACAACACCCTTATGTAACAGATAACGTTCTGTTAATCATCATATCTTTGTTGTACCATTTACATTTTTACTCTTTGTTGTTATATTATATGATTATTGTGATGTGAGAGCTGCTGTGTCCAAATAATTTCCCTTGTGGATCAATAAAGTTTGTCTGAGTAAGTCAAAGTTTAAGTAAATGGAACAACATTCACAAAAAGTATTTCTCGACTCAAAAGAAAATGTTACGCGATCCACAAATGTCAGTGCAGTTACATTTATTTGCAAATGTTTAACCTGCATTTACAAACCACTGTACCCTGTTTGTGGGTTTTTGAGACCTTCCTGACAGCGTTCGATTTGAGTTTGTTGTTTTTTTTTGGGTTTTTTTTAACAGTCAATCACGTCTGCTGAAGTTCTAGCACATTGCGCTACTACTGTGCAGAGTAGTAGTAGTAGTAGTAAATTGCTTCATAGGTTCCAGATAATTTTCAGGTTGAGTGGCGAGAAAGGCAGAGGAAGGTTGTTTATCTCCTTGTAATTTAACATGTTTAAAGTCCTTTATTCGTGACTGAATTTAAAAGGGAAAATTATCTTTCAGGTCCTGTCATTTTGACTTTGCATTGACCATTAACCAATTTAATTAAATCATTTCCCTTATGGATCAATAAAGTTCATCTAAGTCCAGGTCTAGCTGGGTTTAACTGCTTCATAGTTTTATACATCCATGGCTGTTCAAAGGAGTTACCGATTTTGTTTATCAATTTAAGACTACAGCCCCTGTTATAAGTTTGTTGTTACCAGAATGACAATAACCAAGTCATAATGTATTACTAAAGACTTTCAAACACTGTGTCCTGTTTGTAAGTCCATTCATCCATACATTTTCTTCTGTTTATCCGGGGCCTGGATTGTGGGAGCAGCAGTCTAAGCAGGGACTCCCAGACTTCCTTCACCCCAGACACTTCCGCCAGCTCCTCCAGGGGGACCCCAAGGTGTTCCCAGGCCAGCCCAGAGACATAGTCCCTCCATCGCGGCCTTCCTTTCGGTAAGTCATACATTATATTTGTGAATGCTGTTATTAGGGGTGTGCAAAAATATCAAAATATTAATAGTATTGTTTAATGTGATGATGCATTATCGATATGAGTCACTGCTGTATCGATATATCACCAAGAGTATTTTTTGGTGTATTTTACTGTGTTATTTTGTTATAGCACTACAGTTTTGTTGTTTGTTTAGAGGAAGTAAACTTGTTTATGCAGCACATTTGAGATTTTCACAGATTTTTTTGATGAGTAAAATGTTTGTGTTTCATATGAACTTTGCACAAGAAGTGGTTTAACAAAGACTTTTAGTATCACAGCCATGATTTAGCTGTTATTTTTATGAATCATACTGAATCAATTTGAAATATATCGTATCAAATCAAAAGTGTATTGAGATATGTGTCTTTATATTTGATTCTGGACCAAGAAATGTATTTGTGGTGTGATATTTGTTTCGTAATAAAGACACTACCGTATCTCCATATATAGCACTGTTCATTCCACTGTTCATTTTCCCATGACTTGCCGATACTCTGACTCATATTTACACACATCTGCCCGGGCCTGCGCGACCCCAGGACCAGCCGGAGGTCACGGGGTCAAGGGGTCACTGGTTGTGCTGGAGCTCTCTTTGATGGGGCCACGTGATCTTCTTCATGTTCCACACGGGCGCCTTCAGTCCGGCCCTGCTGAAGAGGTGCTGTGCCTCTTTGGGCTCGGCGCTGTCCCCCGTGTGCAGCGCCCCCGTGTGGAGGTGCAGGGGCAGGATGGAGGAGGAGGAGGGGGGGCGCAGGGACGTGAAGGCTTTACTCAGCCAGTTGTTGCGGGCTTCCTGCAGGCTCGTGTTGAGAACGCTGGTTTCGTGCTCCAGTTCCTGAGAAAGACAGAGGAACACAAGTCAGTACATTAAACGCAAAATCCACTTTTCTTTTGCTACTAAATTGTCAGTGTTGGGAAGGTGACTTTTAAAATGTATTCACCTACAGATTACAGATTACATACCCCAAAATGTAGTTTGTAACGTAATCCATTAAATTATTTAAAGTGAGTAATGTAATATGAATACTTTGGATTACTTGATTTGCTGTACAGAAGCAAAGACCAGGAAATCTTCACATAAGAAGTTTTGTCTGTTAAATGAAAATAAAAAATAAAAAGCACAGACTTTACTGAACCAAATTAAAAAATATTATTGATTGAAGAGGAGGAAGAGGTCCACGCGGCATAGTTTTATCCTGTTAAAGCATGTTTTAGTGCTGTTTTAGATCTAGTTTAGACCTGGTTTTAGTCCTGGTTTAGATGTGGTTTAGACCTGGTTTAGACCAGGTTTTAGTCCTGGTTTAGTCCTGATTTAGACCTGGTTTTTAGTCCTGGTTTAGACTTGGTTTAGACCTGGTTTAGACCTGGTTTTAGTCTTGGTTTAGTCCTAGTTTAGTCGTGGTTTAGACCTGGTTTAGACCTGGTTTGAGTCCTGGTTTAGTCCTGGTTTAGACCTGGTTTTAGTCCTGGTTTAGACCTGGGTTCAGTCCTGGTTCAATCCTGGTTTAGTGTCCGGCAATGAGTGGAATTACCAAAAATAAATAAATTAAATTAAAAAGGGATTTAGCCCAAAATGTGAAAACAGGAAAATCCTGCTGTGTAATCCATTTATTTCAACAAAGTAACTGTAATCCAATTACCACTCACTGAAACAGTAACTGTAACTGAATACAGTTACTCATAACTTGTACTCTGATTACATGTAATCTGTTACTCCCCAACACTGTAAATTGTTTCTATGGTGTTTTAATGGCATTATCATGAACCTGCACAAAAGTATTCAAACTTTAGCAATACGTTTTAAACTTGTTTTCATAAATATATTTAAATAGAAGCTTCTGACATCACATGACTCAACTTATCAACTCATCACATGACCTAAACCACAGTGTTACAGTATTTGGTACTTAACAGTAACAGTAAGATTGGAAAATACCCAAAATACAGAACAACAGGTTTCTTTCTTTTGAACAGGGTCAGAATAAACAAAACCCCAGCATCAGCTCGTTTACTTTCACTTCAGTTAAACCAGGTTAACTTTCACTTTAGGTTCACTTTCTCTGGTGAAGCTGTCAGGTAAAATCTATGGCATGTTTAATTACTTTTATTTGCCCCAAGATATTCTCAATATTTAATTTTTTTAATATAACAAAAACTAATTTACGCTGTACTCTTACTTGAGTGATATTTGATTGCATTTTCAACATTTTAACACAACACACAAAACAAAGTGGAGCAGTCTGAGCACATGTTTGAGTTTTCCTCATTAAATAAACATTAACCAATTAAGCAAGACACACCGACCGGGTCAAACAGGTAAACCAACAGCGATACTGAGCCTGTACACTGAGCCTTTACCTCTCTGTACAGTGACACTGAGATCACCGGGCGATTAGTCAAGCAGAGGTCCCCACAACTCCATAAAGAAATCATCATTACTTTTCAATTTTGCACTGACTCTTTCCATGGGTAAGACTCTAAAAATATTTATACCACCGGGTGACAGTCGGTGGATTCTCATTTATCCAGTTAAACAGCACACACTTCCAGAAATAGTCATTTAGCCACTAATTTTTATTTACTTTTGTGGCAGCCCCGAGAGAAACCAACCCAGATCCTTCACCAGTTTTAATTTCACTATTCTGCTTATTTCTTTAGCTACGTAACCAAAATGTGGAGATTTTTGGGCAAGTCCAGACAGTGTAAATAAGTCCCATCTGTTGTCTTATATTTAAGACAAAAAGGTGATCTACTTTGGTTTATCTTGCTCAAAAAAACTGGTGTTCTGTGCTGCCTGTGTAAAATTTTAAACTGGGTCTCTTTATGTTTGTTGTTGAGGAATAGTGAATAAGTGGACCGGATACTGTTCTTCCAACTACGTTCCTCATAGTGGCATTGGAGAGCTTCTTCCCAAAGCCCTTGAGCAATTTCTAGGACCACTATTTTGTTATATTTTAATTTATTCACTATTTTACCAGGTAAGTGAGTTGAGAACACCTTTTCATTTATAATAACGACCTGGCCAAGAGACAGGATAAACCAAAAGCACAAACAGAAATCACTCACACATCAACTATAACATGAAACAGTGAATAGAGATATAAGACAGTGAAACAATTGCATATTAAAGATATAAAAGTGCTAAAAACATGTGCAATTATCCTGTAAAATACTCTGGATGGAGTTTTTAAAAATCGACAGGTAAAAACAAACTAAGTTTTAAAGTCTGTTGAAGGTGGTTCCAGTCACTTGCTGCAGAAAAGTGAAATGGCCCAAAGCTGTGTGGGCTTTAGGAATGACCAGGGTTATGTATCAATCATCTATCAACTTGATTATTTTGACCATTTACCATTTACCATAATTAAAATATTGTTTACATTCACAAAATTCTTTGGATTTGGAAGAATTTTCTCATAATGTTTTTTGAGAGGGATTTATTTAACAGCACAAATCAGATCACCTGTTGTAGTTCCAACTAAATCAATTCGTTCTGGTCAGATTGTGTTAAATAAAGCTCAGATTAGAGTCTAAACAAAGCCTCAGACGGAGCAGTGCCTACAGTTAGCATCACACTGAAAGCTGATGACAAATCTGAGTCCTGTACCTGTATCTTACACTTGGCCTCCACCATCTGCAGCTTGGTGCGGGCCAGCTCCTGCTCCAGTTCTCTGATCTGGTTCCTGAACGACTCCTTCTCTGTGCCGTCTCTGCTGCTGTCCCCTGGAGCCTGAGGACGCGTCCCTGTAGTGGGGCTGGACATGTCGCCCTCCTCGTGTCCACCAGGGGTCTCCAGTGTGTCCAGCACATGTGAGCAACTGCTGCACGACTTCACTGCGTTCTGAGGAGAGAGAGGGGACTGTGACTGTGACTAACTGGTGTGGGCTCATTTAGACAGAAGATATAATGGTACTTAAGACAGAATTATGACAGTGAAAGTCCAGTACAGTGCAGTGTTCTGTAGTAGGTTAATAGCAGCAATTAATTCTGAGCACAGCGGCACAGGGCTACTTCTGGTCAGTGCGACGGTTCACCTTTTCCACAGGAGCATACTTATGTTCCCACAGCCCTATGTTCCCTCATTTCTACGTTTTTTTTTTTCTTTCTAAAATTAGGCCCTACGTTCCCTCATTTCCACATCAATTTGAATCAGATTTTATCCCCATTTCTCCCAATTTGGTCGTCACTTACACCCAAACTATTCTCCAGCAGCAGTAAACTTCAGGTATAATGTGGAGCTCCTGGTGCAAAGGCTCCTAGGTTGAAATGACCCTGAATCATCCCTTTATATGCGGAATAAAAATGACTTGAATTAGAGTTTCATTTGGCGAAAAATCTTAGAAATAATAAAAATCTTAAAGGGCGGTGGGAACAAAGGACTGACCCCATTTCCACTCTCATGTCCCTATGAGATTTTTGTCAAGTGGAAAATGCCAAAATCCGTAAATCCTGACAGATCAGACTGTGGACTGGGAGCCGTGTGTGGATGTCACTGACAATGTGTTAAACATTTTACAAATGCAGGGAAAACATCACCGCAGGACACAGTGTTTACAAAGAAACTTCTGTGTCGTGCTAATGCTGATTCTAATTTCAGAGCCTAATAAATATTTAAATAACGCCACATTCTGAAGTAATCTACACTCACAAATAATCTGTACAACAACAACAAATGTAATTCTGTTATATTAAGTCCTGATTTTAATTTTGTCTCACTATCTAGTCTCACTCCGTTGCTGCCCCCACCCTCTGGAACTCCCTGCCCAAAAACTTCAGAAACTCATCCACACTCCTCATGTTTAAAAAAAAGCCCTGAAACCCATCTCTTAAAAAAAAACAACAAAAAACCTTTCCACTAACTTTTCTTGTTTGCCTTTGTTTGTCTTCTCATGTAAAGCGTCTTTAAGTATCTTGAAAAGCGCTATACAAGTGTTATGTATTATTATTATTATTAATATTATTATTATTATTGCTGTTGTTGTTTTGTTGTTGTTGTTATTATTATTATTATTATTTATTGCTGTTGTTGTTTTGTTGTTGCTGTTATTATTATTTTTTATTTTATTATTATTATTATTATTTATTGCTGTTGTTGTTTTTGTTGTTGTTGTTATTATTATTATTATTTATTGCTGTTGTTGTTTTGTTGTTGTTGTTATTATTATTATTATTATTATTTATTGCTGTTATTGTTTTGTTGTTGTTTTATTTATTATTATTATTATTATTTATTGCTGTTGTTGTTTTGTTGTTGTTTTTATTTTTATTTTTTTATTATTATTATTATTATTATTATTATTATTATTATTATTGCTGTTGTTGTTTTGTTATTATTTTTATTTTTATTATTATTATTGCTGTTGTTGTTTTGTTATAATTTTTATTTTTATTATTATTATTATTACTATAAACAAATAAAATGCCTTTCAAAATTAATTCCTTCAACAGACAACAACAACAAAAACATTTAAAACAAAAATTCGCACAATTGTGGTCTAAAAAGTTGTACAGTTTGACTAATGTTGGGTAAAAGTAAGTGTCAGCTGTTTCATCTAATATTAACAGTTTCTTAACCATTTCTTTTCTTATTATAACTGTTGCGACATGTCAGACGTAAAGATGTTAATCCTATATAATTAAAAGCCATTTTAAAAGTTACAGAATATATCATGATAAAATTTAAATGAGATTTCAGAGGGATATTTGAATAAATTACACACACATTTGAAAACTAAAACCAAAATCCATGTACATTCCATGGTACTTTTCTATTTCTAATTACAGGATCAAACATGTTGCACTCTCGATGGAGTTATGATGCAACGTAAACGATTCCCTCACATGATGATTGTGCTGCAGTGTAACGTGTCACCACCAGATGCCGCCAGAGAAACAAAAACACCTCATTGTCGTTTCCCATAGATTTCATTGAGTGATCAGTTTTAATACCTTTATTGAGTCGATCTCGTGCCTGTGTGCGGCCTGCTGCCTCTCCAGACGCTCGGTCAGCTGGGAGCAGATCTGAGGAGACACAGAAAACACAAATACTTATTATTATTTGTACATATGCCCCAGTTAAAGAGCATATGACAGGTTTTTACGCTTTTCTAATTTTAACTTAGGTGGTTTGGTGGAAAGTACCTATGCTCAGTTTGTTATAGTTTTACATAATGTTTTACTAATCAAAAACAGACCTGGAGTTGTGTTTTTTTTTTTTCATTCACGCATGTTTAACACACAAACCCTGCATATTTAAGTTACAATCATTTAGATAATTTCAACCCTAGGATCTCTGTAGCTGGTAACTTGAAAACTACCACTTCGTGACATCACAAGGTGGAGCATTTTTGAGTTTTGGAGATGTAGACAGACTAATAAAAATGGAATACTGAACAGAACAGGATCTTAAAGAGGAAATAAAGTTGAGAAGAAAAGTACAGAAATACAGGAAGTTGAAAAAAAAATTTGCACGCAAAGACAGAATAAAATTTCCCTAAAACAAAATAAAGTTGGTGTTATTTATTTTTATTGGTCAAAACAAAACTGTTGTGTAATTTAGAGAAGTTTTGGCTCTTGTTTACATTATGGCTGCTGGGAAAAAGTTATTGAATTCAATGATAAATTTCCCCAGAATTGTCAAATTAGGTACGAAGTTGAGTAAAATCTGAAATATATTAAGAAGTTTTAGTGAAATGAGGAGTTTAAACTGTAGTAACCCATGTAAGCCCGGCTCTGGTCCAGTCCTGGTCCAGTACCTGTTTGTAGTCCGCTATGATCCCCGAAGACCTCTCGATGCTCTGGTCGGCTTTCTCCAGCTCTCTCCTGAACACTTCTTTTAACTGTAGGAAATAAGACGTTTTTAAAGGTGCACTGCGTAACGCTTTTGTGGTGATACTTGTCTCCACGGAGATGCAATTGCTATGCCTGGAATGTTCCACAGTTCAGAGTTTGTTCCATTACTGCTACAGATGTTTTTGTTGCTGAAAGTACGTTGAAAATACAGACGGTACCGCTCCAGAGTTCTGATCTGTAACTCAGCCGGGTGTTGCATTTGAACCTCACCTGCTCGTCTCCCTGAAGATATATATGTTTAATGCCATACCGTGGAACATTCAAGACTAGGGGTGTTACAGTTCACAAAAATCACGGCTCGGTATGTGCCTTTGTTTTGAGGTCACAGTTTGGTTCATCAAAACCATTTACTTGTTGTTTACTTATGTGTTTATTAAACCAACAATTTGTTTTAACATTATACAAACAGGAAAATAAAATAAATGCAAAGTGCTGCTTGGTAATACTAATAAGTTAAATTAAACATTCTCAAATAAGCAAGAAATGTAAGAAATATTCTAAAAAATAAATTCCTTGTCAACCGTAGTTGCAGCACTAACAGTTCCAGTATGAAGTTTTACTCAGTCTTCATATTTTTGGCCAGAAAAAAACAACTTATCCACATTGTCTGCAGTAAGTGCAGATCTGCTGCAGTTAAAATGTCCCAAGCGGCTGAAAATACACTTTTGCTAGAGACAGAGGTCGCGGGTATGGGAGGGATGGGTGGTTTTGGGAGGGAGCGGAGTTTCTGTCCTGGTAAAAGGCCAAAGTAAGGACCAGGGCGCGATGACTGTAGTTTTGTGAGGACTCACGTGGTTCGGAGGGATATAGTCAAAGCGTTGGGACAATTGTTGTCAAGGCTCTAACGATAAAGCGCTGTGGAAAACACTGCCACCCCAATCATGGAGTTTCCTCGTGAATATTAAAGAGTCGATTCTTCCATGTAGCCGCACATGTAGTGGCGGAATGTAAACACATACACACAAATTGCACAAACTCACTCGTTCACAGCCCTGCACCAAACCGAACGTCTCATACCGAAACAGCTCGGCATGAACACATGTACCGTTGCACTCCTATTCAAGACACAGCAATAACATCTCCATGGAGACAAGCAGAAAGTTACAAAGCGGATCTTAATTTAGTCTTGTATATTTATATTTGCATAATTCTTACCATGGCTGCTTCCTCCTCTTTGCTCCCCATCTGCTCCTGTGTGGTCTGAAGTTTGTGCTGAGTGAAGATGAGTTCTTTGGAGAGCGTGTCGACTTGATCTTCTGCCTGAAAATGGAAATCTTTATTAAGTCACGTTGTCTCAATTTCGACGACACTCCATCCCCACTCATCCCTAACCTCGGCCTCCTCCTCGAACCCAACCTCTCGTTCGAATCCCACGTTAAACAAATAACCCGGGCTGCCTTTTTCCATCACAAAAACATCGCTCAGACGCCGTCCATCACTCCTGGAATCTTAATCCACGCGTTCATCACCTCCAGAAGCGGCTACTGCAACTGTGTTCTTTATGGCGCACCCTCAAAAACTCTCAATAAAAAAAACTCCTCCCGCAAACCTGGTCCCACGAACACATCATCCCTGTCTTCCGGAACCTCCACCAGCTCCCCACGCCTCAGTGCAACCTTCTGTCCATCCCCTGCTCCTGTCTGCACCTGTCCCTCCCCTGTGGGACCAAGCTCCAAACCTTAGAAAACGGAACCTTCTCCACCTGGACCTCTCTACCTCAGCAAATCCACGACTCTCCTGAACTCTCCACCTTCAAAAAAACGCTCAAAACTCATCTATTTAGAACTGATTTCGAAGTTTAACCCGCTTTTATTGTCATATTTGCTTTTTTTATATCTACTCTATTGAGCATCTTCTTTGTACAGCGTCTTTTGAGTCTCTTAAACCTAATCGCTGCTCATCAACGCAACAGCAGCAGCAGAAACATCAGCTTCTCCATCTCCTCCTCTTCACCAGTATTTGCATTTCACTCCCCATATCCTCCATCACATTGTTAACATCTCTAGCTGCTGGGGTTTAAGCTCCAAAGTTTACCCAATCAATACCATTCCTTTCTCGCTCCTCATTTGAATGTCGTCGGCTTCGCGTGCGCCATTTTGAGGACGTTTTCCTGCGTTCGAAAGATAATAATAACGCGTTTTATTTAATTGCACCTGTCCGGACTCTCGAGGTCACCTTGCAAGTAAAAAAAAAAAAAAAGAATCACGAAGATACTAAAGTGAAAACAATAAAAGATCAAGAGGACACAGGAGGACACGGGACAATCAATCAGCGGATGGATCCAGGGAATTCAAGTGGAAGTGGATTTTTCATTGGGTTTTGGAGGAAAAGAGGGAGTTTGTGTCACGGACGGATGATGGACGAGAGCGACTGAAGGCTCCGGACCCCAAAGAGGACAGACGGGCGCGAGGGACAGACGAGACGTTGGCAGAAAATGAGTGCAAGGAGTGTCAAGGTGTCAATATAGTGGAATATATGTGGAATCTGAAGATATAATATTTAGTTTTAAATTGTTAAACGCTACAGCAACGGCGCTCATTTTCATTCATCCTCCAGAACCCCGTGGATACATTTCTTTGCCTCAGGAGCTATCAAAGGCTGCCCGGCGGATGGGAGTGCGTCATGAATACTGACACGACCAGATGGCATTTAAGATACCCAATATTTACTCTGAATAATCCAGAGCTGATTTTGCATTTGACATTTAAAGGGGAGTGAGACTGTGAGTGGCAGGTAGCGGGTGAACGTCCCGGATTATGATTGGTCACAGTTATGGCAGATGTGGAGAAATGGAAATGATGTCTTTATAACGGGTATTTTATCAACGAGGAAAGGTCCAGTTTGATCAGGTTATGTGAGTTTCTTTTCAGTATTGATACTTGCTTTAATGAGTATCTCTTTTTTGATACTTTTGACCATCCTTTAAACTGAAATCGTCTGACCTCGCAGCATTAGGATTAGTTTGCTCGATGGAAGGAGGGTACTTTTTTTTATTTAACCAGACGCTGCTGTTTAGTCGTGACGTATGTAATGCACCAAATCCTGTAGGAAGAAGGGCAATAACGTCTTTCCTCTTGATAAAATTCATCAAACATTTTCTTTGTTCCGGCTTTAAATCCTCGATCTCGGGAATCGTTGCCAACACAGAATGTCTGTCTTCATCTACATCCATCTTGACGCTTTATTTACTGTTGTGTTGTACCACAAAAGGGACCCAGACAGGCGCTTGAGTTTGACGTCATGGCTTCACAGCTCTTCACTGATTGGCCGGTGCACAGTCTGCAACTTCCGGGGTTCTTCCAAACTGTCTAGTGTATTCCGATTCCTGATCTAGTCGCTCGAGAGAAATGAAACTGAGCGGAGGCACTAGGTGGCGCCGGCCTGGCTAATAAATTGTACACACCACATCAAAATTGGGATTAAACCTGGACCAAACCCAAGTCTACATCAGGACTAAATCAGGCTTAGACCAGGATCAGGACTGTGCCGTGTGAGGACTCTAATAAGGGTTGTCAAAAATTATAAATCAACACTCAGATTAGTATAAAAACTATAGCATTTGAAGCATCAATACTGCAAAACTGAAAAAAAATAACACATATATTTTATAAAATGTCAGTCTAGGCCTCCCCCTTCCAAGTAGCTCACCAAGGGATTTTGAAATTATACCATTGTTCTGAATAAAACTTTATTTTTTGTGTGCAAATAAAGCAGATGTCACAGAGAAAAACAGTTTGTAGTAATATGGTGTGTCATTTTTTTAATTGCCCCAGTCCCCCTCTCATTACCCTCCCCCACTGTCTCCAGAGAAAAAAATAAATCAATAAAATAAAAATAATGAATTAATAAAAATAAAGTAATATGTAAATAAAATAAATAAGTAAATCTAGGGGAAAAGGGGGAAATACTTATTTATTTACTTTCTGAATAGCAAAATTTGGTTAATTATATACTTATTACTATTGTAAATAATAATAATTTTGAGGAACAACTTTGTGCACTAATAAACTAATAAATATACCCATCTAACAGTACCCAAAGGCTCCTCCACCCTCTTTCTTACAATCATCAAAATTTTATGTGGGCGCTAAAATGAGTAGATCTCTGGCATTTTTGTTTTGTAAAGGAGCTCACTGGAGGAAAAAAGAGATGGAGACCCCTGCTCTAAACAATACTAAACTCTGCTCTACATAACTAATTTCCTTGGTTCTTTCAGTTGCTTGTTCCGCTGATCATCTAGGGTTATCAAAAGTATTGAAAATCAGATACTAATCAACACTAAAAAACTTGTGAATAGCTTTAGAATAATCTTGACAGATATAAGGCCACATGGTAATATCAAAGAAAGTACTATGATTTAATGTTAAAAAATTATATTGTCAAATTTTTTTATATATTTGGCAGGTCTTAAGATGAGGGCAAGTCAACTTCTAGGTAAAATTGTGTGAAAATAAAAAAGAAAACCCCTCCAGAAGTTGTAGTTGACATATAGGGCTACATATTTTCTATTGGTGTCGTTGAGGTCGGGCGTGTCTCTCATTGTCAATTTCAGGTTAAAATATAGGTCAAAAATTCTCAAAAGTGCTCAAATGCATTCTAAAATTTCGGGATTTCGGCTTTCTCGGCTATGACTTACCCATACACCAATTTTCTTTGCAATTGGACAATGTGAGCGTTCAAATTGTATTTTTTTGGGGATGAATTGAGGTGGAATGAGCCAGTATCAAAATCCCAAGTTTGAAATTTTTGTATTGTGAAAATACCAAACTACCCCACAAAAATATAATGATCACTGTCTTTTTCCCATTACTGCATGTGTATATGAAGATAAATTGTGAATTCACCTTACTTCTATCCCAACCCATACAGACTGAACTCAAATCTCTTCTGAGTCTCTTGTCTAAACCTGCGTGCCCCCCTCTGGCTGCTTTAGTCTGGTGTTATCTGCTGAGTCCAGCTCGTGTGTGGGCACTGCTCCATGATGAGAGCGTACCTGGTCCAGAGCGCTCCTCAGGGCCACCTTACTGGAAATGAGCCTGTGGGCCAGGTTATCGTTCTCCTGCTCCAGACGCAGACTGGCCTGCTGGAGGCGCTGGTTCTCCTTCTGAAAAACAAACAATGAAACATCTCACTCAGGGCTTCAGTGAAAAAAAACACATCAAGTGAAGAGAGGGACGGTTAAGGCAACAAAAGATCATATAAACAAAAGATACTCTAGTCCACAGGTGTCAAACATGCGGCCCGGGGGCCAGATCCGGCCCTCCAAGACCTTCAATCTGGCCCTTTGCTGATTTTCTACTAAAATATTTTAATTATATTTTCTATTAAAATCTTGTTAATTTTCTGTGGTGTTATCACAGCAGCATCTCCAGCGTCTCTGTACGTGGCCCCTCCCACCAGAGCAGCACAAATGAAGACTTGTTTTTTTCCAAACGCTCTTAAAGGACGATCGTTTTTGACTGTTGCAAAATGTCAAAAATGAGAAAGTGGAGCCGAGTGCAGGATTTTCCAAGAAAAACTGACTTATTCCTATTTGCATACAAGTTAATGTTAAAACATTGTGTTGAAACTGCATCTTTTCTCAAGTTTCAGGTTGTTCATAATATTATAATATTTTGTAAAAGTAAGAGTTCATCAATTAAAACAAGATTTCTGTAATAGATTTGCGATTCTCTGCACAAATATTTGAACTTATTGTTATTTTTGGGGTTTATATGCCATGAGTTTTCTGATCCGGCCCCTTTAGGATCAAAGTAGGTTGGATACGGGCCCGGGGGCAAAATGAGTTTGACACCCCTGCTCTAGTCAGTCCAGCCCCCGGAGGAGCTGGAGGACGTGTCTGGGGTGAAGGAAGTCTGGGAGTCCCTGCTTAGGCTGCTGCCCCCGCGACCCGGCCCCGGATAAGCGGAAGAAAATGGATGGATGGATGGATACTCTAGTCAATTAAAACAGTGTTTCCCAAACTTTTTTTCTGGGGACCCGTATTTTAAAAGTCACAAACCTTCGCAACCCAAGTCAATAAACATTAGGAGTGAGCAAAATATCAAAATATCGTATCATTTAATGTAATGACACAGTATCGACATCATGGGCTGCTGTATCGATATATCGCCAAGAGTATTTTTTGGTATATTTCACTAAATTATTTTGTTGCAGCACTACTGTTTTGTTGTTTGTTTAGAGGAAGGAAACTCATTCATGTTACACATTTGACATTTTCACTGTTTTTAATGATTAAAATGTTTGTGTTTAATATGAACTTTGCACAAGAAGTGGTTTAACAAAGACGTTTAGTATCACAGCCATGATTTAGCCTTTATTTTTTATTGAACCATATCGAATCGTTTTGAAATATATCGTATCGAATCAAAATATCGAGATATGTATCGTATTGGCAACTTCTTAAAGAAACCTAACCCTAATAAACATTTGTAAATCCCAAAATAAAGGTGGATTTGACCATTATTGAACATTAATGAGGATATTTTTTTGTTGACTGACTGATTGTGTCTCTGAACAATTAGTATTAGTCATTGAACCGGCAATAAAAGGATCCATAAGCCACCTATTTGGACATTGAATGCAGCTCATTTCTTTTTCTTTTCAAACTTCAGTTGACCTACATGCAGATTGTGACAAGGTGACCCAGAAAAAATCTCTTGTGACCCACCTGAGGGTCATGGCACAGTCTTTGGGAAACAATGGATTAAAGGTTCTATACTGAGCAAAATTGACTCTCGTGCGCTTTTAGTCATGATGGAATCTTGTTACCTCCTCAAAAACAGACCTGGAGTTTAACTTCTTGGGTTCTTTTTAAAGACAATTCAGTAAAGTGCATGTACCTTGTTGACATGTTTCGACTGCCCACCCAACCCAACCCAAGAACCCAAGAAGTTTAAGTATATAAGAAGACAAAATGAACATCTTTGGCTTAATAAGACCTGGAGCTGTATTTTGTTTCATTCACACATGTTTGAGTAACACTTTATTATTAGTCTGTCTACTTCTTCAATGCTCAAAATGCTCTGTCCCACCTTCTGTCATGAAGATTCAAGTTAACAGCTATTTTTTACCTTTTAGTTCAGTAGAAATTGGCAATTCCTGGGCTGAAATTATCCAAATGAAGGTGTATGGAGCTTAAAAACACAGTGGAGCCCATCAAAAAGTGTAACTAAGTATTTTTAATCTGCCTAAATATGCAGGATTTGTGTGTTAAACATGTGTGAATGAAACAAAACACAACTCCAGACATGTTTATGATGAGTAAACAACATTATAACAGAGAAAATGGCTCAACATGGGCCCTTTAATCACTGTTTTGTAGTACTTTTTGGCATAAATTGTAGTTTTTGCATGACCTTTATGCAGGTGTAGGCTCAGATACATAGAAATACAGAATAACTTAGTTGACCAAGACTTTCTTTAGTTGACTACAGCTCTCTAAAGTACAAAGTAAAGCTTGTACAGTACGTGAGCCTATTTAGTACACATTTTTATTAATTGAAATGTTTTTGTAGGACACGTATTTTTGTTGAATGGGCAGAACGGTCGCTAATTTACTGTCACAAGTTTATAAATGTGCTTCCCTTGTTTATTACTAAAAGCTTCATACATCACAATAGAGTTTTACTTCCTCTTTAGAGACGTTTTACAGAATCTGACAGAACTTGGGCCATTTATCTTAGTTATTCCAGGGTAACACGTCAGCTGAAAGACTCGTTATTTATTGCATAACAACTCCGCCACTAGACGAGGACAAAACTGCGTTGCGTTGCCCTTTGAGTGATCACATGATATTATGATAACAATATTACAAGCCACAAAATGTTCATGTATTTGTGGTGATTATTTATTGTGTAATCACGTATCCTGGGTGTTGAGACTTTTGGGAGCCACGCTGTAATAATTAATTACAGTTTTAGAGTTATTTCACGCCACAAACAGATGGTTTATTAAGAATGACTCAGGCTTAGTAAATACTTAAAGGATTAGGAGTTAGAGTTACGGTTTTAATTGGGTAGTTACTAAGCTGACTCATTCTTAACAGGCAATTTGGTTATTGTGGTTCATGCTTTGAAACTGTACACATTATGAGGGCTTACTTGTGTTTCTATTTTACATTTTACATATTTTTACTTTACATATACAATATTACGCAAAATTGACTCTTTTAAGCCACGTTCTTAAGTTGTTGCTTCCTCAAAAACATACTTGGAGTTGTGTTTTGTTTCATTCACACATGTTTCTGTAACTCTTTTACTGTTTTTTATTAGTCTGTTTACATCTCTAAAGGTTAAAAAGCTCCTTTCCACCGTGTGATGTCATGACGTGGTAGTTTTCAGATACTTTTTAAGCTTTACTGAGTAGAGATCGGTAATTCCAGGGCTGAAATTATCCAAATGATTCTAATAAATGTGCATGGAGTTTAAAAACACAGTGGAGAACAGAGTATTTTATGTTTGAGAGAAGAACTCAGCCTAAAAATCCAAGGTTTGTGTGTTAAACATGTGTGAATGAAACTACTGTATTTTTCCGACTATAAGTCACACTTTTTTCATGGTTTGGGTGTTTCCGGTGCGACTTATATATTAAAATTTTCAGCAGCAAGAGGCTCTAGTCTTGTGTGTCAGTATCTGCTGTTACTCCTGTACCACTGTCACATGGCTCTACTGCGCATGTCTCCTGCAGAAAGAGCCTCTGTCCTGCTGCAAGTAGTGAAATATTCAGCCAAAAACGGTAATCGAGCAAAGGAAAGAAAGTTTGGAGTGAGCGAGAAACTTGTGAGGGACTGGGGAAAAGCAGCGATGGAGAACACAGATTCATGTGCACCTCGCAACTTTCCTGGGAGTCACTGGATGGATCGACAAAGCCTGGACTTCAGTGACACTGAAACCATCCTGTCGGGATTCAGAAAGGCCAGAATAATTCTAACTGGAACTGATGCTGAGTCTGATGACAGCTACGCAGAAGAGGAAGTGGTGCTCTGTTTACCTCCGGAGGTCGCGGAGTTGCTCAGAAGTGACACCGAGGATGAAGAATTGAATGGATTCAGTGATTTGGAGTGAGATGGAGAGTTTGTTAAACTTGTTCTGTTTGGTTGTTTATTCTATAGTTTATCTGAAGAACTGTTCATATGTGATGTTAACAGTCTGTTGTTCTCTCTTCTATTGTTATTACTGTAACTTAACTTTCTAGATGAAATGTCGGTTCCTGGTCTCTGATTTTATAAAATACATTTCCCCCAAAAAGTGTGACTCCGGTGTAACTTATACATGTTTTTTTCTTCTTAATTACACATTTTTTGGCTAGTGCGACTTATACTCCAGAGCAACTTATAGTCCGAAAAATACGGTAAATATTATAAGACAGAACAGAAAATGGCATAATACAGGCCCTTTAACACGGACTGTTTTATATCATGGAAAATTATCTTGTATCTGGTGTGATAACATCTTAAAAAAACAAAACAAAAGCTGTTTTTAAAATCACATGACTTAAAAAAAAAAAAAACTATTGTGTGATTTTCTTCTTTTTTTCCTCTATTCCATCACCATTTCCTCACCAGATACTTGTCCAGAGGGTCCTCCTCCTCCTCTTCTTCGATGCTCATCATCTGCAGCCTGCTCTCCCTCAGCTTGGCCTTCTTGGTCGGCACCTGTGGGCGTACGTCAGGACTGATTAACACCACAAGCGCACGCAATACAAACCCAAGTGACACCTGATGCATTGTGACAAATCTGACGCCCGGCAACGCAGAGGAGATAAGTTATGAAAGACGAGATCAGCGTGATTAAAATGGTGATCGAGAGAGCGTTAAGAAGTCACGGCGAAGAATTATTTCCCTATCGCAGACGACGTCGCCGAGAGTCATTTGAATGGGTTTTGTGTTATCTTGGAATTGTGCGATAAATTTCACGCCTGTCAACGAGAATTATGTTCGTGGGTATTATTTTTATGTTAACAGCTGCGTAGTGAAGGGAGACGGCGGATTGGAGAGCTCCCTGAGTAAATGCAACAGTGTATAGAGGCAAAAGAGGCAAAGCAAGCGAAGTGTTTTGCTTAATGACACAACTACAGCATGAATCAGTCAAAGCTGGGATCAGGTTTTTCACATTTCGGACTGAAAGCCAGTGGTTGTCAAACTTGTTTACAATCTGTTTACTTGTATTTCACCAACAAGAACAAGTGGTGCATGAAGTACTCTTGTTACTTAACCAAAGCAAATAAATACTTGAGTAAAAGTATCACGTGAGTAGTAAAAGTACTTTAAGAGTAATGTACGTCAGAATTAGAATCAGAATCAGAATGTATTTGTCATTTCAGTATAAAAATACACTAAAACGAAATACTGCACTCAGGTCCAGGTCAACAGCAGCATAAATAATAATAAGAATAAATACTTTAAAGTAGGCATGTCCAAACTATGGCCCGTGGGTCAAATGAGGCCCTCAGACAAATTTTTCTTGGCCCTCAGGTTTCCAGGTGAATTGGCCCAAATTACCTTGCATCAATTAAAAATGAACTTTTTACAGCAAGTTTTTTTTTTAAAATCTACCGTGATGAAGCTAAAGTTTAATATTTAGTGTTTGGTTTTAAGGATCTTAGAATGAACAGACGAGTTTCAGCTGACGTCATTGTTATTAAAAGCCCGCGTTGCATGCTGGGAAATATTTTGGTCGGAGGCAAGAAACACGATAGCGTCAAACACAGTTCGTAACCTCGCGTATTTATCCCCGATAATGGTAAATTCCTGCTGCATTATCGGATGCACAAATAGAAGCACGGAAGAAGGAAAATGTCTTTTTCGTATTCTGAGTGAAAAGAACCACTAACGGTGAATTAAACGGCTTTCAAACATCCGCAGAGCAAACGTAGAAGATCCTAACAAACCGTGGACTCCAACAAGTTCAACAACACATCGAGACTCTTGGAGGTTTTCATCTTTTCTGCTGTGAACGACCCAGGAGTTTCCACCAAGTCACTGTGGATATCGCTGAAGTGAATATTTGATCAGGTAGTTGGCGATTCTGACCAGAAATGTGGTTTGATCCAGGCTTTGTAGGGGTTGAAAAGAGTGATTTGGCTCCATCGATGCTTATGACCAATTTCTGGTTAAATCGTCTTGGGTCCTCTGCCGTTAGAGTGGATAAATAACCGGGATCAATACCCTTTACGTGCTTTCTCGCTCCGTCCGTCTTGTTGAATTAGTGTTTCTTGCCGCCGACCAAAATAATTCCCAGCATGCAACGCGCGCTTTTGTCAACAATGAAACTCGCCTATACAGGACTGGTGGCTCATTCTAACGTGTTAAACTTGCACATATTTCAATTATTCACTGTATTGAGCACCAATCTATGGCCCTCGATCAGTCCTCTGCTTCGTCTGTGTTTAGATATGTGGCCCTTAAAGGTTGTATAGAAGATTTTTTAAAGGGAAGACAAATACATCGACAGTCCTTTTTCAATTGTTGTGTATGCGTGACACCACCTTCCTCCTCCACAGCTCCCTTTAGAAATAATTTAGAGACCAACACGTCAGTCTTTAGACTCTTCGTTTGCTTCAGTCGCGTCATCGCTGAAAGGAATCTCCAAGAATCACCTCAGTTTGTCTTCACTCCTTTTCCACTTCCCTTCTTCTTTCGGCGACCTCATAAACTGACTTTCTTTTGCGGCGAACTGGTCGTGGGTTCTCGTCCGCCATCGCGATAAACTGTGCAAATTGTGAGGAAGTGACAGTTTGAAAAAGCCTCTAAGAACTGCTGCATAAACCACATAATCACGGGACGCTGGCGAGTCAGTTACACTAGAAACGTAGGGAGTTTGATTGACAACCTAACAGCCAATAGAAAATGAGGGAGCCTCGTTTTCTATTGGCTGGTGTTTATCTGGCCTCAACACGTCCACAGTTGATAAATTTTCTTTTTTTTTTTTTTTTTTTGGTCATCATAATTACAAGGCGTCTCTGTAATGGTATTTTGAACTTTCATTGACAATTTGAAACTAAAAAAAAAATCCTCCATACAACCTTTAATGAAAAAAGTTTAGACACCCCTGATTTAAAATACTGTATGTCAAATAAAGTCTTTAAAAACAGCCGCTCTCGCCCCCATTTTTCTAGAGTGCGTTCCAAGTCAGGGCTATTTTGTAAGGTGCATTCGATCTGCCTAATGTCATCAGGGTAAAAGCTGTCGTGGCCTGTAGGTGGCGCAATCTTCTGCCTGGGAGAGCTGTAAAAAGTTCATGTACTCGATGGGTGGAGTCCTTCATGATGCTGTAGGCTTTTGTCCTGCACCTGCTGATGTAACTGTCTTCAATGTAGGGCAGACTACACTTTTTACTTAAATAGTAAAAAGTAAAAGTATTTTGTGCAGATTTTGAGGTCTTAAAGCTTCAATTGTACACTGCAAAAAACAAATCTAGTCAAGTTAAGATGACTTGAATTAAGAAAGTTTTATCGTGATTTCAGTGAATTTCACTTAAATTAAACTAAACTAAAATTATCTACCTGTGGAACAAGACTTTTTGTACTTAAAATATGAAAATATATCTTGCTACACTTAGAAACACTTAACTTTTTGCACTTAAAATAAGAAACAAAATCAAATGTTGCTCAAATTAAGAAAAACACGCTTATTCCATTGGTAGATAATTTGACTTGTCAAGTTGAATCGACTCAAATAAAGTCAAATGTTCTTAATTTAAGTCATTTTTAATTACCTAGATATTGTTTTTTTCCAGTGTAGTGATTGTGATATCTTTAGATTTTTTTTTTTTCCTGGCATTTTTATTCTCATATTTTTGTTTGCCCAAACTACAAATGCGTTAAAAAGGTTCTCAACCAATAATAAAAAATACTTTTACTTTTCAATCCTGTTCCAAGAATCTAAGAATCTAGTGGAGTAGAAAGTACAGACACCTGCTCTCAGATATAGTGAAGTAAAAATAAATAGTATCCAGTTTAAAATCGATTTAAGTAAAATACAGATACCTCAAATTTATATTTAATGTGCAGTACTTTACTACATTGACTTTGTTACATTTCAGCGCTGATTATCTTATTTTAATGCTATTTGGCGCAACAAAAACATTATTAAAGATGTAAAAATGTACTATAAATTTCACGTTTTAGATTTGTCGATGCCGTAATTTAAGATGGACGACACGGGCCGATTAATCATTGTTTGTTTGGGATCGGCTCCACAAACCTGTCATCTTAATCTTACGTCTTAAAGTCCTTTCAACAGACTTCAATCTGGTTTTGAATGGCTGAATAATGCCACCACTTTCAGAGGCCATTGTGTAAAAAGCATTAGACTTTTGTTTATTCGTACTGACGTTGAATTTTGTGCGTGTTTTTGTTGCGTGTGAATAGAAATACAGCGATATGAAGCATAAACCAGGTCAATAAATCTGCAATTTGACATTAAAAGGTGCATTGTGTAACTTTTGGAAGAGTTATTGCTTGGTCTGGAATGATTCACAGTATGACATTAAACCTTTCTATCGACATGGACACCAAACTAGACCAAGTTAGAGGTCAGATCTGTGGAGAGGCGACCTGCACAGAGTCAGAATGTCTGTTTTTAAGTTATTTTTGAGCTTTAAAACTATGGAGTAAGAAAGCTGTCAAAAATATTCGTGCGCGTAAAATAGAAATCCGTGCATATTTGGCTGTAGTTGCGCATAAAATAAATATTTGTAAACTCTCAAATGACTCCAGTCGTACATAAAATATATTGTGTGTATTTTATCCATCAGAATACGAATTGAAAAATTACGACGTCATGAATTACAATCACGAAATGAAAATTTACGATTACGCTTTCATCAGTACGAATACGAATTCACAGACGGAACTTTACTGTCAAAAATACGTCATCACTTCACAGACATTATTCATCGAGCAGAAGAAACATCGATCAAGATCAAGACTGCGCAGCTCAAGTTTGTAGCAGAGGGTAAAAACAGAGTAATAGCACAAGGAAGCTACAACAGCGACCAACAAGTGGGTTAATTAAAATCTATTGTAAAAATGTCTTGAATTCGGGAACCGAACGCTGCTGTATAATATTGTGTAGAAACACCTCCTTTGAACGGGAAATTGCACCTATATGTTAGAAAACATAGTGGAGCCAGTTGGCGAACATCCGACGTAACGTTATCCCAGGGCTAATTAACAAATATCAGGTTCTCTGTATGTTTAGATTAAAACATTCACGGCTACAGCCACAGCGAGCATCAGCCACTCTGTTTTTACCCTCTGCTACAAACTTGAGCTGCACAGTCTTGATCTTGATCGATGTTTCTTCTGCTCGATGAATAATGTCTGTGAAGTGATGACGTATTTTTGACAGTAAAGTTCCGTCTGTGAATTCGTATTCGTACTGATGAAAGCGTAATCGTAAATTTTCATTTCGTGATTGTAATTCATGACGTCGTAATTTTTCAATTCGTATTCTGATGGATAAAATACACACAATATATTTTATGTACGACTGGAGTCATTTGAGAGTTTACAAATATTTATTTTATGCGCAACTACAGCCACAAATATTTTTGACAGCTTTCTTACTCCATATAAAACCACCTGTAATTGAATAAATGTAAAGTAGAGCTGTTTAACGACATAAACATAGTGACGTACGCCCAAAAATTTACACAATGCGCCTTTAAACAGCAAACTCCACCCATTTCTGACCAGTCCTCCAGCTCAGTTTTAAATGACAGAGATTCTAGGATGTTGTGACGTGCTTACGGAGAAGTGTGGTCCGGAATCGGCCACCAGACAGGCCAGGATCTCCTCCTCGCTCAGCTCCTCGTCCATCAGAGCGTCGTTGGAGATGATGGCGGACACCTCCTGCATCATGGTGCTCTCAGCTGGAGGACAGGAGCTACACGCACTTTAAAACCGGAACTGAGAAGAGAAGAGAAGAGAAGAAAGGGGCCAAAACCTGTCATGAGAAGAAGACGATAAGGATAATTAGTAAAAATGGAGCATGAGCAAACCATTCTGTACGTGCTGTAAATATGTTTCTTTGATTATGAGACATTTCAGAAATAGAACCAAACCAAACATTTATTATATTTAAACAGAGGCAAATTTTATCTCAATTTTATCTCTTATAGCTGAATTAGTTTGAAATTGTGTTTATTGTAGAGCAAAGGTGGGGACTTAAGTCACTATTTTTAGGACTTGAGACATTGAGGCACTTTTAAATCTGAATTATTTCTATTCTGACCGTAAATATTCACACTAAGATCTTGTCAAGGCATTTAAAAAGAAAACATTTGCATTTCTACAACTCTTATATAAATACTAATCTATAAATATACCATGACTTTTTCAGCACTTTTTAGTTTAAAATTCATGTAAATTGCAAAAATCTAAGTTCTGGTTTAAAGACTTGAAAAGACTTGAAGACTTATGGGCCATTGACTCGAGACTCGACTTGGACTTTTCTGTATTTGACTTGGGACTTGACTGGGACTTGAGGTCAAAGACTTGGGACTTACTTGAGACTTGCAAAACAAAGACTTGGTCCCACCTCTTTTGTACAGTAAAAAAATATTAAAAAAAACAGTGTAAAGTAAGAGCAAATGTAAAAAAAAAAAAGTATAAAAATGAATTGGGTGCATAAAGGAAAAGCACTTTTAAGCACTTTTAACTTTGGTTATAAATGTGTTGAACTTCTATAAATGACCTGCTCAGGGACAACATATGGAAATGAACAACTTTGTCATAATCTGGAATATTTACACTGCAACTGTTTCATTTTATTTGTTTATTTCTTAGTTTATTTGAATGGGAATAATGCACATGAATAAACATTGCTGTAAATATGCAAGTATCAAACAGACAATAGCTACCAAAAAGTCTACAAATACAATAAATAATTATAAAGTTAAGTTATTTGGCTGTAAAATCTATAGAACTATTTACATGTGGCCAGAGGTGGGTCGTATTCCGCCACATTTACTCGAGTAACTATTTAAATTTAGTGTAGCCTACTTTTCAGAGTACTTTTCTAGCAGTGTGCTTTTACTCCTTCTTGAGTAATATTTAGTTTGAAGTAACAGTACTATTACTTGAGTAAACGTCCTGACAGTTCGGCTACTTTGAAGTAACTCTAACTTGAGTAGTCGGCCTGCTTTTCACAAATATTATTTTACTCCTAGCTGAGTAATTTCTTGGACCACTACTTTGTACTTCTAGGCTACCTGAGTAATATTATTTTGATATAATTGAGTAATGTTACCCTTACTTATCTTACCTTAATTAGTTTAGTCTAGTTTAGTTTAATTAGTTAGTTAATTGATAATAATCATTTAAAAAAAACGTGAATTTCTCCTTTGTCATAGTTAGTTAATAGTTTTATGAGATATTCTACCCATTTCTGCATGTAACAATCTAAAACGAAAATACATTTGTTAAAGCTGCACTGTGTAACTTTCTATTTGGGAGTCCGTCACCCGCTTGTTTCTATGGATACGTCACTGCTCTGCCTGGAATGTTCCACAGTATGACATTAAACAGCTCTACCTCACATTTATCCAATTACAGGTGGTTTTATAGCTCAAAAATACCTAGAAAAACAGACATTCTGACCGCGATCGGGGTCGCCTCTCCACAGATCTGACCTGTAACTTGGTCCGATTTGCTCTCCACGAAGATATACTGTGAAACATTCCAGACAAAGCAATAACATCTGCACGGAGAAAAGCATTTTGACTGACCCTCAACCTGAAAAGTTACACAAGGGTCAGGGTGAGCAGATTTTCAAAGTAAAAAACTGGAAGATCCCTGGTTTGGGTGGGTTTGTAATAATAATAAACTTTTATTGTGAAAAGAATGCGTAATTAAGGGAAGTTGTTACACACTAGTCACATTTTCTTACAGTTTTGGTATTTTACCTCAACAAATGACACTTAATGCCTCTTTTTACTATTGGCAGGGCTCAGATTGGTCAAAAATAAGCAATTTCTTGTATAAAACTGGAACAAATCACTAGTTTTGGATAGATCTGCTGGGACAGGGGACACAGGGCTGAAACCTGGGACTGTTTTAAGTAAAAAGGGACGTGTGGTCACCCTGACAAAGCACCTTGAAGTCGCAGTAGCCCGTGTAATCCTCACCTTTGCTCTGCTCGTCCGCCCCGGCGTCTCCTGCAGATGGGACCGACACCTGCAAACCAACGCGAGTATCCGGAGCTCATAAATATCACAAAACAAAGTCACACGGTATATTCCAGGTTGTAAAAGATGGTAAAAACAGGTTTGCTATGCTAGATAACCCAGCCGGAAAACAGG